TCCATTGCGCCACTAGCCCTGTATGACAACTTGGCAGAATCCAAGAGTAACTGCATTTCATACGAGAGGGCGTTGTTACCAACTGTTAAAAGTCCAGCTGAAGGGACTGGCAACTCGCAGATGCTGCCGTGACCCGGATTCGAACCGGGGTTGCGGCGACCACAACGCAGAGTACTAACCACTATACGATCACGGCTGCTTGATGAGTTTAGTGTCAATTTTTTACCTATACCACATGGGTAAGATCTGAACGTCAAGATTACCTCTTTTGTAAATAAATGAAGTGAGTAACGAGTAGTTTTCCACTACTGCGATTCCGTTCTTCCCACAATCTGTTTTTTCAAAGAAAAACGATTTGCAAGTAGAAATTTCCTGAGCACTCCAAAGAAGTTGAAGGAAGGTTCCGAGCTAGCCAGGAGTCGAACCTGGAATCTCCTGATTCGTAGTCAGACGCGTTATCCATTGCGCCACTAGCCCTGTATGACAACTTGGCAGAATCCAAGAGTAACTGCATTTCATACGAGAGGGCGTTGTTACCAACTGTTAAAAGTCCAGCTGAAGGGACTGGCAACTCGCAGATGCTGCCGTGACCCGGATTCGAACCGGGGTTGCTGCGACCACCACTTCAGAGTACTAACCACTATACGATCACGGCTGCTTGATGAGTTTAGTGTCAATTTTTTACCTATACCACATGGGTAGATCTGAACGTCAAGATTACCTCTTTTGTAAATAAATGAGGTGAGTAACGAGTAGTTTTCCACTACTGCGATTCCGTTCTTCCCACAATCTGTTTTTTCAAAGAAAACAATTTTTCGAGAAGTTGAAGGAAGCTCCGAGCTAGCCAGGAGTCGAACCTGGAATCTCCTGATTCGTAGTCAGACGCGTTATCCATTGCGCCACTAGCCCTGTATGACAACTTGGCAGAATCCAAGAGTAACTGCATTTCATACGAGAGGGCGTTGTTACCAACTGTTAAAAGTCCAGCTGAAGGGACTGGCAACTCGCAGATGCTGCCGTGACCCGGATTCGAACCGGGGTTGCTGCGACCACAACGCAGAGTACTGACCACTATACGATCACGGCTGCTTGATGATCTTAGTGTCAATTTTTTACCTATACCACATGGGTAGATCTGAACGTCAAGATTACCTCTTTTGTAAATAAATGAGGTGAGTAACGAGTAGTTTTCCACTACTGCGATTCCGTTCTTCCCACAATCTGTTTTTTCAAAGAAAACAATTTTTCGAGAAGTTGAAGGAAGCTCCGAGCTATCCAGGAGTCGAACCTGGAATCTCCTGATTCGTAGTCAGACGCGTTATCCATTGCGCCACTAGCCCTGTATGACAACTTGGCAGAATCCAAGAGTAACTGCATTTCATACGAGAGGGCGTTGTTACCAACTGTTAAAAGTCCAGCTGAAGGGACTGGCAACTCGCAGATGCTGCCGTGACCCAGATTCGAACCGGGGTTGCTGCGACCACAACGCAGAGTACTAACCACTATACGATCACGGCTGCTTGATGAGTTTAGTGTCAATTTTTTACCTATACCACATGGGTAGATCTGAACGTCAAGATTACATCTTTTGTAAATAAATGAGGTGAGTAACGAGTATGTTTTCACTACTGCGATTGCATTCTTCTCACAATCAGTTTTTTCAAAGAAAAACGATTTGCAAGTAGAAATTTCCTGAGCACTCCAAAGAAGTTGAAGGAAGGTTCCGAGCTAGCCAGGAGTCGAACCTGGAATCTCCTGATTCGTAGTCAGACGCGTTATCCATTGCGCCACTAGCCCTGTATGAGAACTTGGCAGAATCCAAGAGTAACTGCATTTCATACGAGAGGGCGTTGTTACCAACTGTTAAAAGTCCAGCTGAAGGGACTGGCAACTCGCAGATGCTGCCGTGAACCGGATTCGAACCGGGGTTGCTGCGACCACAACGCAGAGTACTGACCACTATACGATCACAGCTGCTTGATGATCTTAGTGTCAATTTTTTACCTATACCACATGGGTAGATCTGAACGTCAAGATTACCTCTTTTGTAAATAAATGAGGTGAGTAACGAGTAGTTTTCCACTACTGCGATTCCGTTCTTCCCACAATCTGTTTTTTCAAAGAAAACAATTTTTCGAGAAGTTGAAGGAAGCTCCGAGCTAGCCAGGAGTCGAACCAGGAATCTCCTGATTCGTAGTCAGACGCGTTATCCATTGCGCCACTAGCCCTTAATGACAACTTGGCAGAATCCAAGAGTAACTGCATTTCATACGAGAGGGCGTTGTTACCAACTGTTAAAAGTCCAGCTGAAGGGACTGGCAACTCGCAGATGCTGCCGTGACCCGGGATTCGAACCGGGGTTGCTGCGACCACACGCAGAGTACTGACCACTATACGATCACGGCTGCTTGATGAGCTTAGTGTCAATTTTTTACCTATACCACATGGGTAGGATCTGAACGTCCAGATTACCTCTTTTGTAAATAATGAGGTGAGTAACGAGGAGTTTCACTACTGCGATTGCATTCTCTCACAATCTGTTTTTAAAACTAAAACGAGCATTAAGTAGAAATTTTCTGAGCACTCCAAAGAAGTTGAAGGAAGGTTCCGAGCTAGCCAGGAGTCGACCCTGGAATCTCCTGATTCGTAGTCAGACGCGTTATCCATTGCGCCACTAGCCCTGTATGACAACTTGGCAGAATCCAAGAGTAACTGCATTTCATACGAGAGGGCGTTGTTACCAACTGTTAAAAGTCCAGCTGAAGGGACTGGCAACTCGCAGATGCTGCCGTGACCCGGATTCGAACCGGGGTTGCTGCGACCACAACGCAGAGTACTAACCACTATACGATCACGGCTGCTTGATGATTTTAGTGTAAGTTTTTTACCTATACCACATGGGTAGATCTGAACGTCAAGATTACCTCTTTTGTAAATAAATGAGGTGAGTAACGAGTAGTTTTCACTACTGCGATTGCATTCTTCTCACAATCTGTTTTTTCAAAGAAAAACGATTTGCAAGTAGAAATTTCCTGAGCACTCCAAAGAAGTTGAAGGAAGGTTCCGAGCTAGCCAGGAGTCGAACCTGGAATCTCCTGATTCGTAGTCAGACGCGTTATCCATTGCGCCACTAGCCCTGTATGACAACTTGGCAGAATCCAAGAGTAACTGCATTTCATACGAGAGGGCGTTGTTACCAACTGTTAAAAGTCCAGCTGAAGGGACTGGCAACTCGCAGATGCTGCCGTGACCCGGATTCGAACCGGGGTGCTGCGACCACAACGCAGAGTACTAACCACTATACGATCACGGCTGCTTGATGAGTTTAGTGTCAATTTTTTACCTATACCACATGGGTAGATCTGAACGTCAAGATTACCTCTTTTGTAAATAAATGAGGTGAGTAACGAGTAGTTTTCCACTACTGCGATTCCGTTCTTCCCACAATCTGTTTTTTCAAAAGAAAACGCATAGCAAGTAGAAATTCCTGGGCATCCAAGGAAGTTGAAAGGAAGGTTCCGATCTAGCCAGGAGTCGAACCTAGAATATCTTGATCTGTAATCCAACCGCGTTATCCATTGCGCCACTAGCCCCTGTATGCAAACTTGGCAGAATCCAAGAGTAACTTGCATTTCATACGAGAAGGCCGTTGTTCCCAATTGTTAAAGTCCCAGCTGAAGGGGACTGGCAACTCGCAGATGCTGCCGTGACCCGGATTCGAACCGGGGTTGCTGCGACCACAACGCAGAGTACTAACCACTATACGATCACAGCTGCTTGATGATCTTAGTGTCAAATTTTTTACCTATACCACATGGGTAGATCTGAACGTCAAGATTACCTCTTTTGTAAATAAATGAGGTGAGTAACGAGTAGTTTTCCACTACTGCGATTCCGTTCTTCCCACAATCTGTTTTTTCAAAGAAAACAATTTTTCGAGAAGTTGAAGGAAGCTCCGAGCTAGCCAGGAGTCGAACCTGGAATCTCCTGATTCGTAGTCAGACGCGTTATCCATTGCGCCACTAGCCCTGTATGACAACTTGGCAGAATCCAAGAGTAACTGCATTTCATACGAGAGGGCGTTGTTACCAACTGTTAAAAGTCCAGCTGAAGGGACTGGCAACTCACAGATGCTGCCGTGACCCGGATTCGAACCGGGGTTGCTGCGACCACAACGCAGAGTACTGACCACTATACGATCACGGCTGCTTGATGATCTTAGTGTCAATTTTTTACCTATACCACATGGGAGGATCTGAACGTCAAGATTACCTCTTTTGTAAATAGATGAGGTGAGTAACGAGTAGTTTTCACTACTGCGATTGCATTCTTCTCACAATCTGTTTTTTCAAAGAAAAACGATTTGCAAGTAGAAATTTCCTGAGCACTCCAAAGAAGTTGAAGGAAGGTTCCAAGCTAGCCAGGAGTCAAACCTGGAATCTCCTGATTCGTAGTCAGACGCGTTATCCATTGCGCCACTAGCCCTGTATGACAACTTGGCAGAATCCAAGAGTAACTGCATTTCATACGAGAGGGCGTTGTTACCAACTGTTAAAAGTCCAGCTAAAGGGACTGGCAACTCGCAGATGCTGCCGTGACCCTGATTCGAACCGGGGTTGCTGCGAACACAACGCAGAGTACTGACCACTATACGATCACGGCTGCTTGATGATCTTAGTGTAAATTTTTTACCTATACCACATGGGTAGATCTGAACGTCAAGATTACCTCTTTTGTAAATAAATGAGGTGAGTAACGAGTAGTTTTCCACTACTGCGATTCCGTTCTTCCCACAATCTGTTTTTTCAAAGAAAACAATTATTCGAGAAGTTGAAGGAAGGTCCGAGCTAGCCAGGAGTCGAACCTGGAATCAGACGCGTTATCCATCGCGCCACTAGCCCTGTATGACAACTTGGCAGAATCCAAGAGCAACTGCATTTCATACGAGAGGGCGTTGTTACAAACTCTTCTTTGTTCTGTTTCCTTACGTTTTTGAGTAGGAAGCTGTTGCTTTGCTGTCCGGATGTACATTCATGCCACCAAGGTCTATAGTGACTCTGGCTCGGGCCACTTTCCTTCTCTGTGACCTGAGAGGAGTACACAGCATCCCACTTCTTGAACTGACACAGAAACTTTTGAAAAAGCAGGTACATAATCACAAAATGTATAATCACACACAACTGTTGAAAAACTTGGCAAAGCATTTAACATTAGTGCATTTATTACTCTATTCCCTTTTCTTTCAGCTGTGTGTTTTGGGTCAGAGTTGGGTATTGGATGATGGAAAAACGTTTTCTACTTCTGGACCCTTTAACATCTACCTACCTTACCTTAACCTACTGGATCAGACAACTGTGCAAATGGGTAATAACAAATTATTTGATACTTTTATGCAGTTGAATCAGGACAAAGTGTCACTAACTACATTATTAACAAACTCCCTTTCTCAATAGCAGTTTTTATCGGCTAACAATTCATGATTTGCACTTAACATTAAAGTATGGAACATATACCTAGCTACAGTACATCATTAAGATATATAATATTACACATTCAATTGAGCATATACATATATCAAACTAACAATATTGCCCTTATTAATGAGTTAGCTTCTTAGTTTGTTGACTAAGTGATCTTATTTTTTTTCTATAAAATGTTAGAAACTATTGCCATATGCTGGTCACAGTCTCAGGCCCTGTATCTTAAATTACACACAATCAAAAAGCTGAATGCATTTAGTATAATCTTGAAGAAAGGTAACAAATAAAAGTACAGTAACATCAGAGAATTTCCATTTGAATGAATTCATTGATTAATCAATTAACAGAATTGTTGCAGATTAATTTTTGTCCAATTAAATATTCCCACCTCATTAAACCCTAAATCAACAGTCAACATGCAAACAATAAACAAGGCTTATTTCGGTGGAATGGTAATATAGTTTAGTTCAAATGTATATTTTGTAGCTACTTATTTTTCAAAAGTGACAAAAAATGAGCATATAGGCCTTGTGATTGAAGAGATATTCCTGATGTATTTTGGTATACTATTGTTATTATTAATTCTTATTTTTTAAAGGGATGGCGCTTGGAGTTTGGAGGTTGACTAATTGTTTCAGCTGTGCTCTATTTTCGGAAAATTACTTTTGGCAATGTATATGCAAACTCTATATCTTGGACTGTTTCTGCAGATCAAATCCTGGATTGTAGCGGAAGGCAAATACCAATCCCTGCCCAGTCATCACAATCCAGCACCAGGCAGCATTCAAACCAGTCAGGCCAGATTGGGATGGAATCGAAAAGCACCAGTTTCATCTCTGTAAATCCAAAGTAGCAGCAGTTCAGCCTCACATGCTCAGCCAGATAAGCAGAGTGGAATTGCACTCTTAATGCACTCAACGTTATGCTTTCAATCCATCTTTAGGTGACAGTCTCTTTTGACTTGACTAACAAATACAATATTTTTGTTATGTTTTTCTTTTTTATTGTTTTTGGATCCTGAAGAAGAGAAAGAATAACTTTTGTTGATTTTAGAAATAAATCGATGGTGAAATGAATAAAGTCTCTTATTGAAGCAGGGGTTTTCTGTGACTACTTGCATGTGCATATGTATTCTGATCATCTATGGATATATATCCTGCACATAACAAACTGAAAAATATTGTGTCTCTTATTTGTTTAATGTTTTAGTTATTACATTTTTTTATTATCAATATTATAATTATAATGTTAGGCTTATATTGATAATATAAAACGGATCTTTAAACTCGTATTACAGTTTGATTGACAGAAAAGTGTAAATGTAAAGAATCCTACGGTCTGTTATGTATATTTTCAGTTACCATATGTTGTCATAGTCTATAGTGGAAATTGATGATATTGTTTTTGCAATGTACATATAATCGTAATCAATGATTTTTTTTTCTCCAATCCAACACATCTTTTTACCTGCAAGTTGTCAGTGAATGGAGACAAAATAAGAGAATGCTGAAAGCCATAGGAGTGGGAAATAAACGAGACAACTGTGGGGCATCAGGTCCTGGAGCAGCATAGAAGCCATTTGATGTTTTATGCTGTTGTATTTTGAAAAACCTGCCACCGGAAGTGACGTAGTGAGCGTGGTTAACGGTAGCTGTCTCCTGCGCTCACTCAGGCGCCCCGGTATGTTGACGTTGAGCCGGAGTACAGAAAATGCTGGTAACGGGAATATGTCCGTTGTTTCAGGCTAGTCCTGTGAGTCAATGAAGCTAGCCAACTAACGAGAGTTAACTAACTTAGTTCGGCTTAAATGGGGTTTCGAGTTAGAAGATGATCGCGTCACTTTCTAGAGGAAGTTTGCTCGATGAGGTTCTACATGGTGGCTTCAATGAGGTAACGTTTACCTACCGTTAAAATTACTCACGTTAAGTTAGTAAGCCAACGTTATCGTTAATCAATATTCAATTATCGTTAGGTCATCCATAGTGAAAAGACAGACTAAAAGGGGGACAAACTAAGAAGTAGCATAAAATGAACTAAGGTTAGCCAATTTAACGTTAGAACGAACTGTAGTTTGTTGTCAATGTTAACGTTAGTTAAGTTAATTGATCAGTTGGGACGAAAAGGGGAAAAAAAGATGGTCAACAAGCGTGAGTTTGTTTCTCAAAACGCCATACACAACATCATTTACAAAACGTTTTAATTGTTCTTTCTCCGTTGTGTTCGAAACGGGGTGCGTTTTTTGTGTTGTATCCCGGACGACGGGGTGTCACGTGACTGAACAAGACCGGTAAAGATGGAGTAGGCCCGACCGTGTGAAACACAAGAGAACCCACATCCGTTTGAACCATACTGAACCATGCAGCTCTGGGCTGAACACGGGATGATTGACATTTACAACAAAAGTAAAATTCAATCGTTAGAGGGACAATAGACTGCACCCCCACCCCCTTCCCTCAGTCCCCCTTAGCCCTGTCCAACATAATAAACAAAGGAACTCATTTGTCATGCCATGGTCTGAGCCCCCCACCACCGCTCCCAACGTTGCGTACGTGTTCCTCTGTGGTTTATTCGCTTTGTGGCTCTCTGATTGATGGATTGCAGCAGCAGCTTACAGCCTATGTTTCCTGGGTGAACTGTCAGCTGAAGAGGAAACCCGGCCTGAAGCCTATTAAGAACCTCAGGCATGATCTGCAGGACGGGGTGGTGCTCACGCAACTCATAGAGATAGTTGGTAAATATAATCTCTTCATGCGGTGTACATATTTAGTGACATTTGAGCAATTACATAGTCATATAGTCCCATAAAAAACGTTCAAATTCAATTAGGTTTTATGTATACATAAACTATAATATCTAGTCTGGAGGTGCATCATCATTTAAAAAAAAAATAATTTAAAATCTCTTTCTCAAATCTCCTTCACACTGTCAGCAGGGGAACTGCTGGAAGGGGTCCATGTTGCTCCACAGAACAAAGAGGAAAGCAGGCAGAATGTGGCACAAGTCTTGCAGTTCATTTCCTCCAGACACATACGCATGCCACACATATCAGCAAGAGGTGAATCTCTGAATGTTTTTTTTGCTCTTTTCCTGGTGTTAATACCAAATGTTCTGTGTATGTCTAGGTCATTACTAAAAGTACATACATTCTCTTTCTTTTCACAGACATAGTTGATGGTAATCTGAAATCTGTAATGAGGATAATTCTGGCGTTGGCCGCTCACTTCAAACCCTCAGCCAATCACAGGGCTGCATCTGTAAGCGAGAGGGGTTTGACCAGAGGCTTCGCCAGCCACGACCCTCTCTCCACTGTGGCACTTGCACAAGGTTCCGCTGCTGCACTGGCATCAGCACAACCTGAGCTTCGCAGCCTACACGCACCACACGTCTCCAGAGGTAGGCTGACAAAGCGAAGAACAATTAACATGAACACAAACATCTGTCCATGTCTTTCCTGTAATATCCAACCAATCTGCAGCAAGCATTTTCTTAAAGACATGTGCAGTCTTTGCTGTCCTCTGGTGGACAAACCATAATACCAAAAAAGGCTGTTCTCCATTCATTCGCCATCAACTGTGCGGGCAGTTCTTCGTTCTAAATGAAATAACCGTTGCTTGTCTGTCTTTAAGTTGCTGGGGGTTGGATGCGGAAAAGAATGTGTGTGTTCGTGCACTGGTTAAGCAGTACGAAAGAGGAACTCCGGACGAGCCGGACAATGCCCCGCCTGGCAGGTAAATCTATTTCACAGAAGTGTGTTTTAAGCATTATAGGGCAGGTTGTTCAGCGTAACATCGTACCTTCGAAGGGAATGTAGACAACTACCCTCTTAGTGATTTCAAATGCATCATCTCAAATAAGAAACCAGTGTTCTGAAGGACAAGAGTAGTTGTGCTTTCTTTTGTTCACATGTGTCATTTCAAGCGTTTTTTTGAATACCCTGTAACACTCACAGGTTGGTCTGTAGTGCATACGCTCAGTGTGGGCTGGATCAAGTTGTGAGGTTGTGTTATTTTGAATGATGCAAGGCCAAAAAAAAGAAACAGTGAACATTGACAACTAAGGTGAGAGTTAAACCCGGCTTCAAAGTAAGTAGAATAGATGAAACAAAAAAAAAAGTATATTAATAAATTAAATACTTGCGTAAAATCAGCAATATAAATAAAGCAGTTAAGTATTTAATTTGTCCATTTCAATTGGTTGTAAGAAGTGATTTAAAAATGATGACTTATTCCGCGAGCTGGATGGGCCCTGATGGCAGCAGCACGGCCAGCTTTAACTTCCCGCTTTGCTTGAACAGCCAGAAGGGCCCCACCTGAGAATCTAAGGCGGCGAGGTGGCTCTTAAGAAGTATAATTTTACATCTGACTAATAATGAGTGTTTGGGAGAAAACAAACGAGTTCAATATTTTTTTTAGTTACTCTAATAACTCTGTTATCTTTTCAACACCGTTTTTACCAAACAGTTAAGGCACTTGATTCCACTTGATTATGTGTATTCGTACCACAGAGCAAATGACTTTATTAATCCAGACCTCACCCTGCTGTGTGTGTAATACGCTGTTGACATCTTTGAAAACCACAGGCAGATGATATAAAAACGGAAACAATCAGACTCTGTTTTCTCCAGTCACATGTCCAGTTATGCACTGTGGTGTTCTTCTTATCGTTGTACTTTTTGTGTGTGGACATGTGCCCGCCCTCGTCTTTTGATAATGATGTAAAGAGAAGTCCGTGCATTGATTCTTGGTAGAATGATAATGAGGTTTTGTTTTGGAGAGCGAGATTGAACAGAGCTCTGAGAGATGCACCGCAGTGTCTGCTGCTTCGGTTGCCATGACCAACTTGCTGGAAGGCGAAGGGCAGGGTGTGTTGAGAGTTCGGAGAATCAGCAAACGTCAAGAGTTGGGGTTTTTTTGTGATACTGATGCCAGTGACATACTCGCAGGGTGAAACTTGAGCTCCTTGGAGGTATTTTATGAACAACTTAAGCCACCTTTGGGCCCAATATGGGGGGGACGCAGATTAAATGGTAAGAACAAACACTGTGAATGTTGATTCCTGAGTGTGTGAGTTGATGCTTCTTTTGCCACAACTATAACAATTCTACAGAGCTACACGCAATGTGAAAAGAGACTGTAAATGAAGTTTCCATACATAGTGTGCAGTTTGTAAGCGCTTCACTTACAAAGGATCAAGTTTGGGTTTTGGAAAAATATGTGTTATTCTTACGTTTTCTATTTTATCCCATTCCTTCTCTTATATACCGTCCACATGGAGTAAGAATATGAGTCAGAGTATTGAAAAGGGAGCATTATTAGCACTGTGTTTAACGGTTTCTATTAATATGTTGTGTATAGCGTTTGATTTTCTTTCTTGTTACCATTGAGTGCACAGACAGGGCTTCAGTTTTAAAGTTTAGTTACATGACGTATGTATACACTACATTACTACAGATATATATGTGATGCTACCCAGCAAGGTCCAAGTACTATGTAATAATATTAACATGGGGTGTAAACAGTGTTAACCCCCCCCCCCCTAGGAATAAATTGATAAATCCCTACTTTCCCCTCCATGAGCATCAGCTGCGGCAGTACACTGTCATCTCCAAGAGCTCCACCCGGCACCCACCCGGATAGAGCGCAGGAGGACCACCAACCACAGGAGAGCAGTGGTGAGTTCTATAAGGCCCCAAAGCGGCAGGGCATTTGTTCTGCGGTAGGACATGTGATAACACTGTGTCATGTGTGCGTGCAGTGGAGTCATCTCACGCTGATGCAGAGACGCCGTTGGAGGGTTCTCTTACGGAAACTTTGGAGCAGGAGGTTCAGGAGACACGTAAAATGGTGTCTGCTTTACAGGTACATGCATATTGAGTTTTCTATCTGGTAACCCTCCGTGTATTGAAAAAAATATATGTAAATTATTTTAATTTTCTGTCCCTCGCCCTGAATGTTGTGCACTGTGGGCTTCAGACAACCTACCAGCTCCTGGTTTAACTGGTTTGAGCTTTCTGAACTCGGCAACCAGACTCCAAAGTTCAAAGTGGTGTCACATGTTTCTACCCTCTTTGTTTTTTAGGCTCTGCTGCTGCATGGTTCGCTGCCTGAGGACGAGCAGGACGTGTCTTTGAGTTTAGACCAAGGCAATGCCGAAAAGCAACTGGTACTGCGACTGTTTCCATTGTAACCCTTTTTCAGTCTTTCTTTTCATGTTTTGCTTCATTGTCTTCTTTGCTCCGTTTTTCCAGCTTTCTGTAATCAGGGTAGATCACATTTCTGTTTCTGGGTTTGTGTGTGTGTGTGTTCACGGGGATGTGTGCGTGACACAGGTATCAGTTTCCCTTCTCCCTCACTCCATTGTGGTTCTCACACACTATCCCTTTTTTTTTTTTTTTTTGCCCAGGTGGTTCATTCACCAGTTGTTTGGGATCGAGACCAGAGAGAGTGGCTCGGGGACCTTAAAGGTAGATAATGAGTTAATAAGTTCATTTGTTTTTTTTTCACCATCCACTATGGTTCATGTGTTGTAAAAAAATTTCACAATCAAGAGTCTGTGGTTTTGCCTTTTACTTTAGAGGAATTGTTGCGCGTAAGCAGGAGATGAGAAACTTGCAGGGAGTAAAGGTGAGACTGACAGGTCCGCATGTATTAACGTGATTACCCTCTAAATATGACTGTGGGTGCCGGCTTAGGTACGGACTTTGTGTGTGTTTGTAAATGTGCAGGACGCCCAGCAGCAGAGACTGTGCACTCAGGAGGCCTCGATACTGCAGATGAAGCAAGAGCTTCTCAGAGACAGCATGACGAAGGATGAGCTCAACAACCAGAACGTATAAAATCTGCTCATCTGTGCAATATTTCTTAAGTGAATGTTTAGTCTTCAGAACACTATGATAAAAAGTGTTGACAAAACTATATTCAGTAGGTACTTTATATTTTAGGCATATTTGTGAAAATGTGTTACAGGCTGAGCTCCAGTGGAAGCTGGAGGAATGTAACAGAATGTGGGGAGAATGCAAGGTGAAGTTCTCCAATCTTAGTACAATCATCCGGATTTTCATTGACACGGCATCTGTTTTGAATTCTTGCTGAAAGACAAACCCCACATTTTCTCTTTGCTGGGCGGTGTGCAGAAGGAGATAGGACAGAAGGACAGGCTCCTGCAGCAACTCAAACACAAGCTTGAAGACAGCAAAATGAAGCAGGTAAGGGAGCGTGTGTTTAGATTTTACAGGGAGGTTAAACAAGCCACATGTTCAATTCTATGTGTGAAAATCTCAGACCTTGGAGTTAGTCATTAACTCATTCTTTTAACTTCCTCCACAGTGGCGCTTTAATTAATAATAAAACCTACTTTGAAGAGAAATGTGTAATTTTACTTCGTTCCATTTTCCCTTATTAAATTAAGTCACTTTCATGATATTTAGTTATGGATTAGATATATTTCAAGTTGTTGAATCCAGCAGGTTTATATCTTGTGTGTTTCTTTGGCAGATTGAATTGCAAAGAGAGTTGGAGCATAAAAACAGCATGGAGGTAGTAATGCTTCTTTTTTGACTCTTTCTGTTCCTAAATCCTAAAAAAGAGTTTATATGTCATCGTCACTGCATCAGTCCATGAAGCCATGAATTCAGATATACATTACACACTCTTCTCCTTTGCCCAGATTACCACCAGCGCAGTAAACAATGGGTGTTCTTACTCTGGAAATCCGTCTCCGTCTATCTCAGATGTAAGTATTATTTTTTCACTCAAAACATTGAGTTAGTCGACCTATTCATATTTTGCTAATAAATCATCGCACGACTAGACCCTCACATTGTCCTAAATTATATCCCCTTGCCGTAATCAGGCCATGTGCTCTAATTTGACAAATATTGTATTGCCTTCCGGGTCATTTACGTGTGACATTTAGGATTCAAATGCAGTATTTGTGGGACAGAGCAGCGGGCAGGAAGGCCTCAACCTACACAAAGAACAACGGTGTATAGTTTTAAACACACACAGCTGTCTTCTATAATATTGTGTTTTTGTTTTCTGTCAACAGGCGGAGGAGGTTCAGCTGCTCAGGGATTCACTTCGCAGTCTGAGGAACAACTTCAGAGACCACGACCCACAGCACCACACACTGGACACCCTGGAGCAAGGCATCGTGTCGCTCATGGACAGACTGCACGTTCTGCATACACACAGGGTACGAACAGAAGCAAAAACACCGACAAATGAAAGTGTATCACATTGATTCATAATGTCAAATCGTATTAGTTGCAGTTGCTTTAGGTAAAATGTTATGATTTAAAATCACGAAAGGCTGTCAACATTTGTCCAAATACGGCAGGGGAGGGGGAAATCTCCGAGACGTAAAGGCCCACACACAGACTTGGACACCTGGCCTTGCGCAAGTTAGTTGTTTCAGACATTCTCTCCCCAAATACGCAGAAAACTTGTGCTTTTTTCTAACTATGTTTCTGCTGTCCACTTCAGAGGTGTCTCAGTCCCACAGTCTTGCCTCCACTAAAATCCTTTATTTTACTGGAAAATCACCAACACCTTCCATGATCAACATACCGAAGAGGTGCGTGTGTGTGTGTCCCCTGTTTTAAGTGTGTTGTTACTGTGAATCCGGTCATAGTCTCCATAGTCCTGCATTGCCGGCTAGCAGTTATTCATCCTTTTTACCCTATATTTAGGCCAGTGGGCCGTAGATAGAAAATACTACAATCTAAAAACATAAAAGTCACATGCCGTCAATAAGAGTGAGTCTCTTTGTAAACATTGCACAGGTTGGGTGAGGTTACTCTGAAGGATGTTAAGGCAGCCGTGGATCGAGAGGGAAACTATAGGTACCACTTCAAAGCCTTGGATCCTGAGTTCGGTACTGTGAAAGAAGAGGTAAGAGAACCCTGACTGTAATAGTGAGCTTTAGTGGTAGCCTGTTTTTTGCTGCACTCTCAAAGATGGAGGATGAAATACATTCATATGCATGTAAGTATAGTTATAAGACAAGAGCAGAGTAATCGCTTATGAAGATAGTATTCTTAATGTCTGTGCAGGTATTCTTGGATGCAGCAATCATTCCAGGTTGGGAAGGAAAAATAGTGGCCTGGCTAGAAGAGGACTGTGGTGAGGAAAGGTAACGACATGCTAACTTTGCCTCTCTCTTCATCTTCCTGAGTCTCAATGGTAAACGATGCCCTTTTTTTGTGTCTTAGTCCGTTGTAGGTGCAAGCTGGGGGACACACTTTGTTTTTACTCCTGGTCACCCGGATCCAAGAGGCACATCTAGACGACTGTTCAACTATTCAATTATTAGCGAATAATAATTTGCTCAGTGCCTTAGAAAGTAAAGCTATTTCCTTCATTTGCTTGTTATTGCCAGGCTGTTACTGTATTTTTGATTTAACCGTTTCTTAAGCCACTGTTATGTTGTTTCCCCTCCAGTTGAAAATGGAGGTTTGTACTGTATTTAAGAATTGGAAGAAATTGTACAAAGGCTTTTTTAATTGTTCAGTATACATTTAAATTCATTGTTCATTCAAGTACATTATTACCTGTTGGTAATATGTATTACAATTTCTCTTTCCGTAAACATACAATTAATTTGTAATTGTGAGTACAAATTAAATACAAACATTTAGTATAAAGTATTATAGTAGTATAAAAATAAAATGAGCAAACACCAAACCCAGATGTGGGTTTTAAATGTCAGTCTGTAGCTCACCAGCATGGATGGTAACAGAAATGCTCAAACTAAACGGCTGTCAGTTCAATTGAAGCGATGCTGGAATTTTGATGTTCATGCAGATATGCAGATGAACAGCACTGTTATTTTTGTTTTATTAATCACTTTTTTTGTACAATTGTGTAAAATGATTTTCACAAGTTAATAGTTCTTTTTTGTTCAAAAACTGTGACATGCTCTGCTCCTGTTAAACAAATGCTGTAGTTGGGAATTTTAGATTAGACATCAAAAGGAGACTTTTGTACTGGAACAGTGGACCATCCCGCTAAGTGTATGTGTGCATTGACTGTATATAAGATTTGTGTGTGTGTGTGTGTGTGTGTGTGTGTGTGTGTGTGTGTGTGTGTGTGTGTGTGTGTGTGTGTGTGTGTGTGTGAGTGACATTAGGATGTTTTCTACTCTTCTTTTGTCTTCCTATTTAGGATCAATGTGTTTGCCTTCACTAACAAGCCAACTGAAATATGCATCAGTCTACTTTTATATCGACATGTTTGAATGCCATAACTGCCTGTGCTGTAAAATGTACAATTTTTTGTGAGATGGTTATAATATATGGTTACTGTCTGGTAAAGAAAATACCGTTAATACCGACCGATCATTTTAAATAAAGCCTGAGTTTTGTTTTTAAAAAATGATCTATTTTTTGAGTTTTACTAATAAATGTTATTGTATCTTAAAACATCCACATGAACCTTGACTTTCATCACTTCACAACATTTCACCTTAATGAAAAAACTCCAAGCTTTGTGATGCTTTTTTGAAATTTATATATTCTTTATTTCATACCACTTGGGATTGATCGAGCTCTCGTCCCCACGAAACCTGACTGACCTGCCAGAGGATTCAGTCATTACAAACCAACTCAGTCACGGGACTTACTCTGAAATTGTAACTCATTCCCAAAAGTTACCTAAGATGCCAAAACACCTGGATGCTCATTTAGTAACTGGGGAAGACAAAGGAAATTATGCAAACACTGACAAAATACATTACAGATCATCCATCATTCATCACCTACATTTACTGTTAATGTTAATGGATGTCTAGTGTTTCATTGGAACCCTGTGGTTTATGATAGAACCGCAGGAAAATACAGCCCAGACACCGTCTATACATACATTTTGGATCACTTTCTTAATTCATTCCATCTAAATTAGCATTAGCGTGAAATGCAGCATTGCTGTGGCCTTCGCCGATGGGAATATGACGTTTTACGATACGTTTACGACACCTGTTTTGAAGCTGCGGCAGGACGAGGACGGCTGCCGTGGCTGCCGTAAAGCGTTGTGTTTTGGACTGAGGGAGGTCATTGGAAAGTGAGGCGTACCAACGGGCTGGCTCTCAAGGCGCAGAGACACCCAGTGCCGGGACACATCTCATGCCGGTGTAAGACAAATACATAATTCAACAGCTCTGTTCAGTGTTTCCACCGCGGCAACATGCTCCGTCTCATCCTGCGGCTCCGGCCGTCCTCCGGGCTGCGCCGCCCCCGCGCACTCCTGCTCGGGCCTGCTACGCTCAGCACCCGCTCCGTTCCCGGAACCGGTTCTCTGCAGCGGCTTCACTGCGCAGCCGGGTCCCGGGCGACGTGCCTGGCCTCCGGCTTGAGCCACAGGGCGACTCTGCTGCGGTGTCCCCCGCTGACAGGCAACCACCGGAGCGGTCGTTTCTACAGCCTGCCGCCGCACCAGAAGGTAACGGCTCCGGCGGTCCGGTTGCTAGAGCACCGGCGAACGCGGTTAAAGCTAGCATGACCTCCCTAGCTAGCAGCTAGCATCGTGGATAGCGCTGTCATGTACTGGGCGCGCTGTCACTCATGTAGAAGTACCATGCAGATTGTTGTATCAGGTTAAAGATGTACATTAGAGTTCAGGAAGTGTTTCGTTGCTATAACGTTGCCAACATATAATGTTATGTCATTAACATTAGGAGGAACTGGGTAGTGTCACTTGGCCTGTTAATGGGTTTCATATGACTTAATTACATTAAGTTTGGCTTTACCAAGGGCCCCTCTAAACCCAGTAAAATCAGCCCGGGTCCTTTTCTTGTGTGGGATAAAGGATTTCACATTACACGTTGTTGTCTGTCTTTGGTGCAGCAGGTTCTGTGTGAATAGGCACCGCTGGGGGCTTCAGTCCAAACTGAAAGGTCTACTGCAATAAGATGATAATGATAGTAACAAATACTTGAATGTTATTCAGGCTTTCACCAGATTAGTTGTCAGTCTGCATCTCACCAGTGTGTTTATGCTCAAACTGAACTGCTGACTTTTATATTAATGTAAAAATCGTTCAAATTGTGTTAACATAGCAAAACAAGACGCTGCCCCGCCCCTTTTCTCCGTACACATTTATGGTATACTAAAATTAATTCATGCAGCACTTGTATCGGCTATTCTGTCATTCTTGAATACATTTTTTTTGATATTTGGTGATCCAACAGGTCAAATATGTTCCTTAATGTCTGAACACCTGGAATGTGTTGTGTGTTCATCAGGTGGAGCTTCCCGCACTCTCGCCCACCATGCAGACGGGAACGATCGCACGTTGGGAGAAGAAGGAGGGAGAAAAAATCAGCGAGGGCGAACTTATCGCTGAGGTTAGCTCCCATTCCTGTTTGTTCCCATATTGTTGTAAGAAGTTGTCACTACACAGATTTAAAACCGTTCATTTCGTTGTAGGTGGAGACCGACAAAGCTACCGTTGGTTTTGAGATCCTAGAGGAGTGCTATATGGCAAAGATCCTGGTTCCCGAAGGGACTAGAGATGTTAACATTGGAGCTGTGATCTGCATCACCGTTGACAGGTACGTTTCTGTCCTTGGCCGATGCAAACTACCAGCTAGAAAAAAGGTTGCCTCACTAAATAGGTCCATTGTCTGATTCAAGACAACTCAAAGTCTCAAATCAAATTCTGCTCAGTGTTTTATCAGCGCTGTCTGCAGAGGAGGGTGGCGAGTATAACTTGTGGAGTGCACCACGGCTGATTGGATCATACTCCACGGTTGTAGAAATCCAAGATAACATCAAATATAATTACGAAACCGAGGTTCAATAGTTTTGTGTACATCTTTGACTACTGTGCAGATATCTAGTTGTCATATGTTTTGTGTATGAAATCTTTTTAATGAACATCTTGAAGGACAAGAACGCAGCATCCGTAGACAAACTGCAAACAGCCTTTATGATGCAAGCATCAGAGGACAACCTTGTCCACATGCACCTCAATTTCTGTCTGAAATGTTGCTTTTCTTCCTCTTGGTAGCGGCAGTGACTCACTGTAACGAACCATTGATCAGCAGGCTAGTTTCTTTTATTGAGGTCCATTTATGGTGGATTTGTGTATGCAGAGGGCCATAATTTAGGCTGATTGAAGTGCACATATTTCCGCATATATCGGTAAGTTATTTTAGGATCGATAAGAGGAAATAGCGCGCTGGCTGCTGTAATGTTTTTGCAAATCAGAATCTTTTGCCGTAACATTTTCTCCATTCTGCATATGCAAACATTTAGTGTAGTCTAGATGTAGTTATGCTGAAATGTGTAATATTTGTGTGTACATTTCCCTGCAGCCCTGACCTCGTCGCGGCCTTTAAGGACGTGACGTTGGAATCTCTCCAAGCAGCCGTTGTCAGTCCTTCCCCGGTTGCCTCCACTCCTCCACCTGCTGCTGCCGCTCCCCCTGCGGCCCCGGGCAGCTCTTACCCCCCACACATGAAGGTAGGCTTGTCCTAACATAAACAACGTACAATCCGGTGTAGCGGATATGACGAGGTCATTTTGTTTACTGCATAACAGTAGTGACTTATTGACGTTACGTTTTGTTTTCTGTCAAAAAGCACAAACTTCAACCAAGATTCCCATTATTTATAAAACTGCCATGACAAAATCAAACACATTTGTCCGTTGTACTTCTTTGTCAATGTGAGCAGAAGTAGTGGCTCTATGGTGAGTTGTTGATCTGATCAACAAAATACCAAATAGCTTGCAAAAACAGAAATATTAATTTGCGGTTGTTTCTGTTTGGGAGAGGTTGTTTTCTCCCCTGCTTTATTTGACTTGTCTACCTGAGGGTTCTCATCTCATGCCCCATTCAGCCTTCCAGGTTGCCATTGTTGCTGAGTATAATAAAAACATGTTGAATCAGTTGAAGACACAATTAGATTTATGTGGGGAAAAATGCTCATTTAATTAGAGAAGCTTTGTCAGTCCTTCCTAAAGCCGCCGTCCAGACTCAAACTGGAGAGGTCACAGTTCCATCATTTCTCCTGTTGATCAAGCCTGTGTGTGTTGCAGGTCACACTTCCCGCCCTCTCTCCCACCATGACGATGGGAACAGTGCAGCGTTGGGAGAAGAAGGTGGGAGAGAAGCTGAGTGAAGGCGATCTGCTGGCTGAGATCGAGACCGACAAGGCGACCATCGGTAAACCTCTACTGACCTGACACTTCGGCATACCTTTATCTTGAATAGCAGCCTGAAAGGAAAGTTCTCCTTGCTCAGCACGTCCCTCTCCTGCGTTTGTGATCCAGGCTTTGAGGTGCAGGAGGAGGGATACTTGGCCAAGATCATGGTGCCAGAGGGAACTCGGGATGTTCCCCTGGGAGTTCCGCTCTGCATCATCGTAGAACGAGAAAGTGACATCGCAGCGTTCAAGGATTACGTAGAGACGGGACTGACGGAGGTTTCCACACCGGCACCGGCACCGGTGAGACACTTATGTGGTCGTTGTGCCCACAGCACTCCAACAGCAACTTGAATTGACCTTGATTCGTATCGAAGATGCCTTGTACAGGCGCGACTTCCACGTTTGAACGTTTGCGTTTATGTTCCAGGCGGCAGCACCAGCTGCTGCAGCAGCGGCAGCACCACCCAGCCCAGCTACCACGCCCGCTGCCCCGGCGGCACCCAGGAAAGGTCGCGTGTTCGCCAGTCCGCTCGCCAAGAAACTCGCCGCCGAGAAAGGAATAGACCTTGCACAAGTCGGCGGTAGGTGACCAAGACGCAGGCAGGCGACCGTTATGAGATCGTTATTGGAAGAACAAGAATTATTTCGATACGGTGCTGGAGGAAGCTGTGGTAAAATATTTGATACGGTGCACGTGGTGGTGTTTTCTGTTCAGGCTCCGGACCCGATGGGCGCATCACCAGGAAAGATATCGACAGCTTTGTTCCACCAAAGGCTGCACCCGTAAGCGAAGCACGCACTTTATTCTGCATCCACGGGCGATGCATGTTTCATCCTGTTGAATCATGAGCAGCATCTTCAATTTCCATTATGGATTCTTCCTATCCAGTCTTATGAATGTAGTTTAAATGTCATTCATGAAGCCAGACTCTCATTGTTTCCGTCTGCTGAGATGAAAGGCATTGCTGCCTTTTTACTGGTTTATATGACTGAATGTCTTTGGTGTTCGGACCGTTGGACAAAATATGCTTTGCAAAATCAGTTTTTACATCATTTTTATTTTTTATTTTTCCGTCCAGATGTTAAGTTACAACAAGCTAAAAGGTTTTGTGTCTACAAATCATTAAAGTATAACTTCACGTGTCCCACTGTATGTGCCACACAGAATTGTGTTAGTTCATTAAAAATGCAAATTCAATTATTTCCTTTGGCAGGCGGTAACTGCTGCTCCACCTCCAGCCGCAACTCCAGCTGCTTCTGCACCTGCTGCAGCTCCTGCTGCACCAGCTGGGACCTTCACAGACATCCCAATCAGCAACATCCGCAAGGTGAGGGTAACCACACACACACACACACGCCTGCCTGCCTGAATTTTGGTGGTCCGTTGTGTTGGATAAGGACTTCCTCAGGTGTAGCTCCTGCATGGTGCTGCTGTTGTTGAAGGCTGTGAGGCGGAGCTCTGTTATTGTTGACTTTTGCTTGCACATTTTGTGCAGACCACCGGCACTCGCACATCCTTCAACACAGTTTCCTATTGAATTATGGATCCACGCTTCAGTGCAAAAATGCATCTCTCCTGCAGGTCATCGCTCAGAGGTTGATGCAGTCCAAACAGACGATTCCCCACTATTACCTGTCTGTAGATGTCAACATGGACCAAGTGCTCGAGCTTCGGAAAGATCTCAACAATGTGAGTTTTTATTTTTAAATAGATGTGTGACGGACAAAACTTAAATGTTGCCCTAAACAAAAAAAATGATTTCCTTGTGTCTCTAAAAACAACCTCGTCTCCTCTCTGCAGGAGGTGAAAGCCCAGAATATCAAGCTAAGTGTAAATGACTTTGTCATCAAAGCCAGCGCTCTGGCCTGCCTCAAGGTACCCGAGTGCAACTCCTCCTGGATGGACACGGTCATCCGCCAGTGAGTGGACCCACATAGCAGGCATCACCAAAACACATGTAATAACTACAGTAAACCGGAGATCTGGTCTCTTGGTTTGATGATCTACTAAGCTTTGGCTTGCAGTCGAGAGCTGGTCATAGTCAAACCTCAATTTAGCGACAATTCATCATCATTCAAAGTATTCTAATCTAGTTAACTTGTCTTTAGATTTAGTCTGACATCAAAACATGTTGTGTAGTTAGTCACAGCAGCCTTTTTGGAACCAGGGATGGATGTTGGTCCCTAAAGGTGTAACGGCACTATTGTGCCAGCAGGAGGCGCTCAAAGCACAGACATTCTTTTTCCCCCAACATTTCTCAATTAAGGAAAATGTGACCTTGATAAAAAAAATCTCTGCTATCATCAGTATTGACTTTGAATGTGTCCAGGAATCACGTGGTGGACCTGAGTGTAGCTGTGAGCACAGCCAGCGGCCTCATCACGCCCATAGTCTTCAACGCCCACGTCAAAGGACTCGCCGCCATCAGCGCCGACGTCTCTGCTCTCGCTGCCAAAGCAAGAGATGGCAAACTGCAGCCGCATGAGTTCCAGGTACAGCACATAGTCTCATTCTGTTGATGAATATATATAATCTTTTTTATTTTAATTCATAAGAATTGTGGAATATATATATATATTTTTTTTAGATTCATGCAGATTTCATCAATGGAGTGAACCTGTATGTAATAGAAACTGTCCTCTTATTGTTTCCACAAGGGAGGTACCTTCACGATCTCTAATTTGGGAATGTTTGGCGTCAAGAACTTCTCCGCGATAATCAACCCCCCTCAGGCCTGTATCCTCGCCGTCGGGGGCTCCGAGAAACGGCTGATGCCCGCTGATAACGAGAAAGGGTCAGCGTCGCCCAGCACGACACCCGTATCCTCGTCGGCCATGCTGCGTGTCTTGAGTTCTAATGCGGCGTGCGTTTGGGTCCCGCAGGTTCGACGTTGCCAGCATGATGTCGGTGACGCTGAGCTGCGACCACCGGGTGGTGGACGGCGCAGTCGGCGCGCAGTGGCTCGCCGAGTTCCGCAAGTTCCTGGAGAAACCAGTCACCATGCTGTTGTGATCGGACTTAAGTGCTGTTCAACCGCAGCAACAGGCGGAGGCCCCTCGGCGAAGTGGTGCGATCGGTCCGCACCGGATCCGGATCCTCCCCGTGATTGGCCCGCCTGCTAATAGGTCACTTCCAGTTACCCTGAAGGGTGAAGAGGCAGAACTCACGCCGCTTACCTGTCTCTCTCTCTCTCTCTCTCTCTCTCTCTCTCTCTCTCTCTCTCCCTGTCTGTCTTTCACTCCCCTTCTACTCATTTGCTATTTATTGAGGCCTGTTTGAAGACACCAGAATTAGGTATGATTGATCCTAGAATATAGACCGGCCATTTAAACATCAGTACTGTTTTACAAAGAGTTTTCGATCAGCGAACGTACTCATCCCAAAATGTGTGTGTGTTTGTACTCATTTTAATCTACGGTTTTGAGGGATTGTGACAGACGATGCGAAGTGGAGCTATCGGTTGGTTATCTAAAGGGTTGCAGTTATGGAAGATGGAGCTAAATATATGTAACAGTTCAGAACCACACACACAACCAAACAAACAAACATGTCCCTATTCAGTCACCACACATACAAACACACAATTGAGAGGTTTAGTGTGTTGTCCGTGGGTTGAAGCTAGAGTGTGTATATTCCTCACTGTGTGTGTGTCTATATATATATATATATATATATATATATATATATATATATATATATATATATATATATATATATATACATATATACATATATATATATATATACATATACACATATATATATATATATATATATACATATATATATTATATTATATATTGGTGAGTTGTTTTGGATGAAATAACAGCTGTATTGAGGCTTCACCGTATGATTTAATACCTGTACAGTCCAAAATCTTGCCAGTTTTATTTTCTAGTGTCAGACACATACTGTTGGAAACATTCTTTATCTCACTGCTGTAACGCACAAAGACTGGTGCTGGATGTTATTTGTTTCAATAAATTGGAAGAAGTAACTCTTGCCATATGCTCTAGTATTTTTTTAATCTTTATAGAACAGTCTGATCGTGTAAAATGTAACGTATTTAAAGGAAAGAAAAATAACCTTGTTGAGAGAACATTTGTAAACCTGAATAGGTCCCATGTTACTTTGCAGCTCTGACCACAAGAAACCAGCTTGAGTCCAGCCGGACTTTGATCTTTAGCTGTGATGTTTAGTCAAGCTAAATAATATTTTTCGTTTTCTGGCCTCTTTTTTGCTGCAACACTTGACTAATTGTTTTGGTTAACGGCATTAGTGAATCGCTGTTGCCAATAAGCCACGTATAACTCCATTAAAGCTCAGTCATCAAGACACAAAATAATCACAATGCTCATTTGGTTGAATCAATTTCTTCATGTTCCCATATTAGAACAGTGCATTCATAATCAATAAAAGGCACTACTCCTGTATTTCATAATATTAGGAGTTTTAATGTTGTGTAACCGACATTTCTTTGCTACTTCTAATTGTGCAACTGTTGAATTACATTTCAACGCGCTTCATACAGACACATTATCACCAAAGTAAACACTCCATCAAGTAATTGTTTGGAAATGCATCCATGCCGACAGCAGTGCGCTGCGTATGCTGCGTATCCCCCCGCGGCATCATGGGCTTTATGCCTAATAGGTAACGTTTTCTATGGAGCAGCTGCAGTAGTTTATGTGTCACTAACTAATTGGACCACAAGCCGACCCGGTGACGCTCCCCACCGCAGCAAGCGCTCGCCTCTCCTCTCTGCTTCAGCCATGGGTTCTTCTTCTGGGAGATGGATCGTCTGGACCCTGTGTGTGTGTTTCACTGCTCTGCAAAACGGTGAGTCGGTCTGCGTGCTCGTGTGTTTGTGATCTTCAGCTTTCACGCAAATTTAGGAAGGCAAGATGATAGATGTTGGTAATGTTGTACATAACTGCCGTAGCCCGAAGTGCAAGAAGGATAATTGCTGCTTCTCGTCTCACATGATGATAAAACTGTTACTTGGTCGTCTTGTCAGTCTGTTGAAAACACAAAGACGGCAGACGCTGATAAACTCTGTGGTATCTGGACAGTTATGTTTGACTGAAAATTGCTACTTCTTTTGCCACTCATGCTTAAAGTGTCTGTTTTATTTGTTTTTAACAATTACAATTCAAATACTTGAAATATCCTATTAGACAAGGAAGACTGTGTACAGAAAGGGTTTTAATCATATAAAGATGCAACAAAAAAGAAGCACATTTGTTCTCATATTGAGTGATTTGAAAAGGTTCTGGTGATCCACAAGGAGACGATGCTGAGAGATGACGGCGTGTTGGTGCTCTCGTCCCAGTGAATAGCGCTATTTTTCCCCACTTTCGCGAGGAGATTTTAGCTCCCCCTCCAAGAGGTTCAGGGGTAATTACCAATATAATGGGGCAGGGGGATATCCCACTCAACACCACCAAAAGCCCTGGGGGGACCATAAGGAAGAAAAGGGGGGGGGGGGGGGGGGGCTGAGGATTGTTTCAGTAATGAGGGAGGAACTGGGGGAACCAGGGAATAGAGTAGCAGAGCAAAACGTGGTGGATGGATGTGAGTGTCCCCTGAGAGGCCTGCGTGTCGGGTTTCATGTGCCACATGTCTCATTCGCGTTCGTCCTCTCCCGCCTCGTTTAATCCACACAAGCTGCGCTGAGGGTGACCATGATGGAATCCAGCCTGGAGGTGGTTCAAGGGGACGTGGTCGTCCTGCCCTGCTCCTTCTTCACCTCCAGCCCGCTCTCCAGACTCAACGTCATCTGGACTCTGGCTCCCTCGTCCAGTCCCCAAAGCCCGATACAGGTGTGAATCAGACACGTGGCAGCCGGATCAATTTGAACAGATATTTGGAACGATAAACATCAGGTATACTTCGTTGTGACCTCCAAAAAAAACAGCTGGTAAAAACACACCATCCTGAGTAATGGAACCAGATTTTTCCCGAAGCTTGTTTTCTTTATGTGTTTATTTTAAGTTCACTTCTACAGCTTTGAATTTTGGCACCGGTACTTACACCTTCTATGAAACACAACAATCCGGTGCTATTTATCAATGACTGCCGTCCCCCAGGTGATCGTGTACGACCACGGACAGGTGATCGAAGCGCCCTCATTCACTGGCCGGGTGGGTTTTACAGGTGCGACCAGTCAAACACTTTGTACCCATCAATACAAACACCATTTTTATCTTAAGTGAAGACAGGGTAAAGAAAACACAGTCTTGTGCTGCAGGTATTCCCTGGAGTGCAGATATTGCCCTGAACGACACGCGCGTCCCGGATGCAGGTACTTACCGCTGTATGGTCACTAACCCGCCAGAGGCAGCAGATCCCGGCATCGGGGAGCTGGAGCTCAGTGTTCTGGGTGAGTGTGTCACTGGTTGTCATGTTCTGTGGGCGTGAAGCAGTTCAATGGCACTTAAACATTTGAAGTCATCTCGGCTTAAAACGCGTTCAATTAGCGTCTAATACTCATTTGCATAACTGTCCTGACTCAGTGTACTTTATTTTATGATACAAAGACGAGCATTTAATCACGTTAACGTGTGGATTTTTCATTCATTTTTCATGTGATAAACTCATTTGTGTTCCCAATAACCTTTCAGGTCATCTTTTTTTCTCTATGTTCTGATAGAAAGAGCTATCAAACTATTAAAAAAGTGTCAATCACAGCTGTAATTTAGAGCTAATTAGCTAATCTTAAATATATCTTAGTATACTCAAAATGCTATAAATCTGTTAAAGATCATGTCAAGTCTCCGTTGCTCTGCGTTTTGGCATCCTGACACTGCTGTGTCAATACTGCCACTAAACCCTTAGTCTAATCGGGTTATTTCATTATGTTAATTCTACAGTTAAAGGGTACACTCACAGAGAAAGAACTCTCAAAATCAACTTGCAGATCATTGTAAATAGAATTATAGACATAATATAATTTCAAAGAAAAGCAGAAAACAGTAAACTGCATTGAAATGTTGCACCAAGTCTTATTTATTAGAACTCCAATAGAGTTAAGAGTCTCATCCACTGACAACTTGTGTAGCGCCGCCGTCGCTGCCCGAGTGCCAGTGGGATGGAGACATCGGCACGGGAGGAAGTGTCACGCTGTCCTGCTCGGTGGAGGACGGTGTCCCCAGGCCAGAAATCCGCTGGGACAAAGTGAATCCAGGAGGAATCGCACTTCCCATCAACATAGAAGGTCAGTGCCACACACACACACACACACAGTCAATGGTCATCACTTAAATGACTTTAAACAATTATGGTGAATTGTTAAATATACTTATGATTTCAAAGGGACAGCGTTCAGAAGACTGGAGTTACACGTTAAATTTGACCCACTGTTCCTGTCTCGTAAATGCCCTTTTCATTCGAACCGCACGGCTTTTTGATAACGGGCCTCGAGTCCACGGCGGGACGACCCCGATGATGACGTCATCACGCAGAACCTTCCACCGCACCGCCTGTGCTTTCTGTCTCAGGAGATCTGTCCGGCTCCGTCCAGATCGTCAACGTGTCCTCCGAGACGTCGGGCCTGTACCGCTGCTCGGCCAACAACGTCCTGGGGACGGAGAACTGCTACGTCAACGTGTCCGTGCACGCGCGTAAGAGCGCATTCACGCGCCACGAGGACCGCAGCCACCTGTTTTTGTTGTTGTCTTTCTGCTTCTCACTTTTGTGTCTCTGTGTCTCCAGCCCCGGACAGGTCCTCGGGGCTCCTGCAGGCCGTGCTGATCGCCTTGTCCATGAGCTCCGTGCTGGCGGCGCTTCTGGCGCTCGTGCTGTGGCTTCACCGCACGGGACAGGACGGGAGGGGGGAGGAGGAGGAGGAGCAGGAGGAAGAGGAAGAGTGTTACAATGAGATACGATATACTCCGTCACTGATGAAGCGTTCGTTTGTTTGACAAAAAAAAAAAGATGCTCTGAAACAAAATATTGTTTCATGGAGGTAATTGATTTTTGTCCTTTGATTTTTCATGCCTCTGTACAATATCAGACGTTTTGAAATAAATTCGCCTGTGTTTCCAGTATGTGTATTATTTGACTTAAAGGATTTATATTTGTCACAAATAGTTTAAAGTATTTACAGGGAATTCTCTCTAACAGCAGCTCATTGGATATTAGTTATAAACAGTATTACATTGATTGTTCGTGTTCTTTTCAAGTTAGGATTTTTGTCATTGCACCTTTAATAGTAGAGTATATTTTTTTCACTCTTATATCACACACACAGAGAAAAACTAAATTTTTATAGAAGGCAAAAAATGTTGGCATGTTTACTGGCCAAAACGGTATGAAAGATGGCCAAAAGGCCAAAGATGGTCCTAAAGTTTGCATCTCTGGAAAGGGGAGACTTATAGGATCCATGGATCCCATATGTTTAAATAAACAAAGTGACCCCTCCAGAAACCTTTACCATAGTTTTCCCTCATCAAAGTGTTGATTAAGTTTGTTGAAATCTTCACAACAGCTTCAGAAAGGGAATCTGCAGATCTCAGCACCATGCAGTGGAAAGTCTCATTACCGGTGCAAAATATTAAACTGAAAATGGAATTACTCACAGCAGTTGATTTGCAAACAAGGACACAAAAAACTTTAATTTAAATAGGAGAAAAACAAAAGAAAAATCACATAAAAAAAACTGTACAGAACATTGAACATCCACTTTAAGTTCTTAAATAAAAGACCTCCCCTCCTAAAATGATAAAGTAGGATGGTGTATGATACATTTTGTGCAAAATTAGATTTTTCCCAAACTGCACATTTCAACTGGAAGAGTGCCGCTCCAAAGCTTTCCCTTCTGATGAACACAAAAGGTCCATCCACAAGATAGTGTCTTAAATGTAAAATAACCCCAAATCCAATAATAAAATAGATTTGTATTTTAAATATATATTTATATAAGAAACATGCTGTACATATTTTAGGAGATTTAGAAATCCCTTTTTATTGACACCCAGATCTGCCTGTTAACTTGTGCTTTCCACACTTCCAGCAAAGAAAACACACTTTGCTCCCTGTTGCCTTGGAAACAAGACGACTGTAGCGATAAGAAAGGGAAAAAAAAGCACTCATCAGAAAGTCTATTTTCCTGAGTCAAGGGAGTCCGAAGGTGTTTTGTGAAGGATACTGAAGCACGTTGCACCTTCTGCAGCATTAGAACAGAAGTTTTCTTTAAATCCCTCCTTCCTGCGTTAGTACATTTCTTTCCAATTATAGACCCTGAGAACGCTGGCCTGCTTTCAAGTCTCCAAGAGGGGAACCCCGTTTCTAAGAGATAATCTGGGGAGAAAACGATTCATTAATAATCATTCAAGCATTGCAGACAACTGCAACGAGGGAAAATATTTAGGGACGAATTTGGTCGACTGCCGTCTTCTTTTTGCTTCAACCCTCAAATTTTCTTTTGCTTTTTGATGTAGAGGGGGACAGAAAGAAACTCATACAGAACTGGGAAAGAAACCAAACTTAGAGTAATTTATCCGAAATACTTCCAGTTATATTGTATAACAAAATTAAAAAAAGACAGCCACCGGCGAGATGATACAAATGTGATGACACCAAACACATTGAGGGAGGGGTGGAGGTGCAGTTAACAAAAGGCATATTTCCAATTCCATACATCACACCATATTGACAAATTCAGTTTAGATATCTGGGAGACAATATTAGTCAAATAAATATTCCACCTTTGCTTTCAGTATTTATTAAACTTTGTTCATTTCCAACTAAAACGCTGGATTTGACTGTTGTAGAAACAGCAGCAGTAGTTGTGGGTACACTAGTAGTAGCAGGAGATGCAGAAGCAGTAGTATAGTAACGGGAGGCCGTACTGCAGGCAAAGAACACAAAGCAGCCCGGGTCCCTTATATCGAGCGAGTAATGAGCCGAGTGGATCCGATCAGTGATCCAAAAAGCCAAAAGGAGATAAACTTGGTGCACCTTAAACACAGAGGAACTCATGATTCTTCAAGTAAAGTATTAAAATAGAGGACATTCCGCTCACCAAAAAAAAGGCTTTGAGTTCCTAACACTCCTAGGTTGTAGCTTTGTGATCAACACAATTTCCAAATCAATGGGCACCAGCTCAGTCCAGAGTCTCCCCACTCCTGCGGGTTGCTTGTCAGATTCAGGACTCTCGTCCAGGCCTGAATAGAGTGTAAACTAGCGGTTAAAGCACCACGTTTTGGCTGGGACGGAAGGGAGGGTTTTTTCTTTTCTTTTTACCCCTGAAACTCGCTCCAGGACAGAACTGTTGATGTCGCCAGGCACCTCTGTAGGAAATGGAACCAGAGAACATGGATGACGTTTTGGTAGGGTGTGTTTTTTTTCCTTTTCTTGTTGAATATGTGTAATGTGCAGGGAAGGAGAAGCGGAGGCTCCACTGTGAACTGTTAAATATCGACACACAACTGCGGTCCGGTGACGACGGGAAAAGTTGGGAAAAGAAAAAAACAAGGCTTATCGTGGTTTCCACATACCCTTCACTTCACATACAGCAGTAATGTGTTTGTCTTTTTTTTTGATTGGTAACGCGAAGAACAAATACTGCTGCAGAAGTCAAGTAACAGAAAGTTAGAAGCGGTTATCAATTCTCCAGTATGGAAAAGTAATCACGCCTCAAGCTAAATATTCAATATAATTGCACCGGCCTTTCACTAATGTCACCAGTAAAAGGTTTTCCACCGAGGCACCGAGTGCCTTTGTCAGGAAACAAAGTTAAGAATATCATCAGGATGAAAAGCTGACTTGTGGTTGGGCCGTTTAGCGGGTTGACGGAAAGAGCCCAGGAGGTGGCGTTGGCGAGCCGGGCCCGGTCCAGACTGCGGTGTGCTTTCATGACGAAAGCATTTCTGCAAAGCACGTCACTGTGGGTTTCCCCCAGTGCAGACTCAGCGCAGGTGCTCGAGTAAAGGCAGCTCTGTGGATTCCTCCCGGGGGGCGGGGGGGTCCCCTGCAGTCAGCAGGGTTGGATCCATCATCTGGGAAGCTCCCAGGGGATCTTGTGTCAGACTGGTGTCTTGAAAGGGCGCAGGAGGAGTTGGCTGTAAAAGATGGGTTTTGAAAAGTTCATTGCAGGAAAACCGGCACAGAAAAACACAATGAACCAAGATGTCAGAAAAAGAAAAAATAAGGATGCAGAACAATCAATAGATAATAAATACTGCTCGCAGATTCATTTTTGTTCATTGATTAAATGTGTCTTGTGGCATGTTGTGGAGCAGGATTGTGAATAATTGATTAAAATAACTCATTCACATTTGACCTCATCCCTAAATGAGAAACAAAATCCAGAGAAATGATCGGAGTTCGACCATAGTTTGGGAAGTTATGCTGTATTTTTTTTAAAACATGTTCTACTCTCAATGCTACATCTCCTTTTGCCAACTGGCAACCCCCCACTGAACAGCTTCAAACCCACACTTGGCCAATGTACCCAATTCCAGCATCACAGGTAAAAAAAAAAGGAACAGCCTGCCAAATGGATCTAGAAAGCTGCTGGTCACTGCTTTGAAATAAAGTTTTTTGGTTTCCCTCCTATATGGACTGAAAAACTAAAGTGAGCCGCAAACACACCAGCAGCCCGCTCACCTGTGTGCATATGGTCTGTACCGTTCCTCCTTCCCCCTCCACTGCAGCTGGTCCGTTGAAGCCCTTCCTGCCCGAAAAGCTCCACTTGCTAAAGTGGCTCTCGTAGTGCAGCCCGCCGACCGGGCCGAGGCCGCCCCGCTGGCCCGCCCTGTGACCAGAGTTCTCCAGGAGGCTCGCCGGGCAGAAGCGCTCCGAGCCCGGCAGAGAAGGCGGAGCCACAGAGGTGCTGAAGGAGAGCTGCGAGCTGGAGAGCTGCTGGCCCAGGAGACCCTGGATGGAGGACGTTCGTTGTAGGGAGGTGAGCAGTCCCGCCTCCATCCTGCCCTCTGATTGGCTGAGCAGAGCTAATGGGAGCGGTTGAGGGTGGTGAGGCCAGCTGTGGGTTGGACCTAAAGGGTTGTCTGGAACGGAAATACAATTCATTTAATTTTACTTTAAAAAAAGTTTTGTGAGATTTTATACAAAAAAAGTATAAAATCTCACTAAAACCATGCAAAGGAAGGACATGAATTGCTTCTAATACATTTGCATAATGTGAACTTATTTAGCATTGTTGAATGTTACAACAGTTAATCAACGAAAGACTAACTATTTCAGCCACTTTGTTACTGTTAATAATCCGATTGATAGAAACCTCTGTTTCTGTCAGGTCTTACCCATGGGGGGCTGGACAGCGGTAACGTGCGGCTGTGGAAGGCCGGAGGCCGGTGTACTCTGGGTGGTGTGAACGGCCGGGTTGGTGGAGATGGAGATGGAGCCGCCCCCGCAGTCAGAGTCCTCGATGTTCCCTCCGCTGTTGCAGCCGGCCCCACAGCCTTTCTGTAACCTGCAGAGGGACGAATACCACGCCGATGATGTTCCCCCCGGAGCAGCCCGACCTCGGTACCCACCCCCCACGCGTACATTTACACCACCTACCTGTCCCAGCTACTGATGAGCCAGGCGTAGATGTTGTGGGGGCTGACCGGCCCTCCCCACACGGAGCGCAGCTGGCCGTGCCCCCCGGCGTACGAGGTGGTGAGAGGGGACACGTAGATGGGGTAGCCGATGGGCTGGTCACACGAGGAGTTTATCATGTTCCTCAGGGCTTGCTTGGCGTTTTGAATGCTGCCACGCTCTGGGTTACGGTTGCGCAGGAAAACCAGCTCCTGCTGTTGCCCCGCCCACAGGCCACGCACACACTCTCTGTTCACCTGTAAGTGTGGGGGTGGGTGGGGGGGTAGAGGTCAGCGGGGTGCAGGGATGGAATCTTGGACAAAAAGCAAATTCATTTCATAGAAACCAAGTACTGAGAGCGGGGGCGCTGACCTTGATGACCCTGAAGCTGAGGAACCTCTTGTTCAGCATGATGATCTTGTACTCGTCGCTCCCGTCGTCCATGATGTGGCGCAACGCCAGCAGCGAGGGCATGTTTGCTAGGATGGCGCTGCGCCACACCGGGTCCCCCTCGTGAGATATCAACATCTTCTCTTCGTTGGCCGTTATGGCGTCGTACAGAACCGCAGGATCCTCATACTCGTCCGGAGATGTGAAGTGGTCCTGAGGATGAGCAGAATACAGGGTGGTTCTCAGTTCAGGGACGGCGCGGTCATCGGTCCCCCCCGGGCCTGGTTGTCCGCTTCTCCTCCTACCTGATGCAATTTGAGGGACATGCGCACTCCCGGCGCCACGACTCGGTTCAGCAGGTCCATATCTGCAAACACCCATTCGTCCCTCGGAGACGTAATGCGAAAGTCTCCCTTGAAAAGTGCATGAAGGCCATAGAGGAATGGCTCCAAGCTGTCAAACAGATAAACAACAACTCCTGCATACCGGGTCGTGACGCATGGAACTTGCCAGTGAGCGATATGGTGGCGTGGCCGTACCTTGCAGACATGCTGTGGGAGGCCGTCCCCAGAGCTCGTCTGCCCAGGATGCACAGCCCGAAACACAGGTTGACAAGTGGAGAATCCCTTTCACAAGTCACCGGCTGCAACACAAGTAAGCCGTTCAGCTAAATGATCAAACATTGTACATTTTTATTCTGCAATTACTAGAGATTTTTTTATTTTTATCAGACGACAAATTAAAAGATAATAGAATAGTCATATAATGTCTTTTTTCTACTTTAATTTTGTACAGAATGGAGACAATAAAAAACCCAAAGACTTTAGTCATCTGCAGGGCTGAAAAGAAAAACAAGCCGCTCCTGCCTCCATTCAGTAGTAGCATCCTCCCCTGACTTAGAACCCCATAAAAAAAGTTCTCATATTTGTTTTCAGGCCCCTTTTGTGCGTACCCAACAGACATAAATGAGACCCCCGAGCTGTGTGTGATTGTAGAGTAAATGCTGGAGAGAGTCTCACCGTTTGACGCCGGCTGTTGCAGTACTGAATCCAGTCCAGGTAAATCATACAGAAAGACGAGGAGGTGATGCCAGAGGCCCTGTGGTCGTAGTCCTCATCGATGTTCAGGTTGAAAGTGGGGTCACCGTCTACGTAGTTGGATCCGAAACAGGGCCGCAGAGCCTCCTGAATGCTCTCGTTAGTCAGCCACTCGTCCATCTTAGAAGATCGACTCACGTAGTAGATGATGCTCTGTTTGAGGGAACGCACACATGAGCGAAATGTTAAAGCCTCATCAACGCATTTTAACATTGAGGCTACCAGCTACAATTTCAGTCAACATTTGTGTGTGTGCACGTGTCTACTGACCCAACGGTACATGTGAAAAGCAATGTGTGCAGGAATCATCAAGATCAATGGCGTACCTTGACATAATACGTGATGAGGATCTTACGGAGGTCGAACACCTGCAACATGGAGGCTGCATTGTTGTCGCTGATGCTGTAGCCCTCCAGCACATACTTGGTGGCGGCCACCTCCCAGGCCAGCCAGCGCTGTCCGAAGGCAGCGTTGAATGACAACATGTGGGGAAGGTGACCGGGTTCACAGCAGCAGCAGCCTTCGTCCTCCTCTACTCCTTCCGTGATGGCCTCTACCTCCCTCTGCTGACAGTAGGTACCTGGACGGATGCGAAACAGATCAGCTGCAGAGTGCGTCCAAGCATCGCACAGGGATCGCCCCGCCAACGTCCGTTTTCTGCCCCCTGAAACTTAACAAGGAACTGAAAATATTGCAGCACTTCTCGACCGGCTAGGACGCCTCCGTTATTGCTTTGCAGCGACTGTCTCCGGTTTGGCGCGATTGGCTCGCAGCTCCAGCCGTGTCAGCTCAACAGCCCTCCCTGCCCGGCTTTGATCTTAGGGCGTGCTGCGCCCCTCCTCGGGGACGGACGCCCTTGTTCCCAGCACGACTCACAGGGTAATCTGCTGCGATGGTAGAAACCCTTTGGCCTTGGTCTCGTTTAACATGCTGTGTGAGGCACTTAATTCACTGTTATAACAGTGAATTAATAATAATAATTGATATACTTAATTACACTTAAGTATTAGGAATTAAGTATATACAATATAAAGTAATTGTATAAAGCACAAGGACCTCAAATCTTGGTATTTGAGTAGCCTAAATGTACTTAAATGTGTTCCACTGATAGTGGAGCACTTCTTTACAAGAGCACACATTCGTTCATCGATCGAGCCTCTTTCATTCTGCTCAGTTCAGCGGATCGATGTATTTAACAAGTGTTTTAATGCCATCCCGGACTCCCCTTGATGAACGAGCCACCCTAAACACCAGCTATATATTCATCAACGTCTCTAGAGAATGTCGTACGACAACCTTTTTTATAGAAATACTATTGAACCCCACCAGAGCCTTTGACTTCCATGAACAAAATTGCCATTCTTGAGAATACTCGACAGACACCCAAATGATACTCCGTCAAACTGAGCTCGTTCTATAAGCTGCAGACATGGTCAGTCAGCCCCCCCATCCATCCATCCATCCATCATCCCGCACTGCTGACCTCTGAATTCGAGACCCCTCAGCTGGAAGGTGACCAGGCCGTTGCCGATCTCGACTATGTGCACCAGAGCGTTGAGGTAGTCGGAGGCGAGGATGAAGCAGTCGCCTGTGGTGTAGTTGCCCCAGCGGCCGAGCAGCAGGTCCCCACACAGGCTGTGCTGCAGAGAGCGCGTCAAGTGCTCGTAGAAAATGGAGTTCAGATTGTTGTCGTCGGCCCCTTAAAGAAAGAAAAAAAGACCCTTCATAGCAACGAAACAAGATCTCCATAGCAACAGAAGCGGAGTAAATGAGTTAGATAGAGACGAGTGTTGTGGCATACCTGGGTTGCGGTCTAACTGAGTGGCCAGTCTGGTGTTGGAATGATCAACGCGCTTGGTGCTGCAAACATTACGAAGCAACATTAGAAATGAACGTCTCCCGTTAGCAAAAAGAAAGAGAAAAACGTTGCAAACATACTTGTAGTCTCGCTCCCAGAATTTTACCGGTCTTGTGTACGAAGTGACAAACACCGCACTGCCGAGGACAGGATTGAGAGGGGTAGAAAAAATGGCGGAAAAGATGGCCTGGACGAAGAGCACAGCAGAGTCTGAAGTAGCACCAGTTAGGGATCTCTCTTATCACTTATAAAAAGGACACCAGAGGATGGAAGCAAAATAAAAATCAGAGCAGCTGGAGGATACGGGGAACAGCGAATGGCTGAGCGAAGGCATGGAAGGCAGAGCCCCAGGTGATCTGCCAGGGGGCGATGTAGGTCAACACGAAGCGCAGCTTGTACAGCAGGTCCCACATCTGAGAATTCAAAAGGGACAAACAATGTTCAACCTCTCAGTCTTTCTTTAAGATCAAGATGTCCGAAGTACAAAATGAACAGAATTAAACATGGTCTAATAATATCTGTAATACAATTCTAAGATGACAGCTCGTTTCTTACCTTGCTGAAGAGAATGGACATGAAGTAGTAGTCGATTAGGAAGGTCTCCGAAAAGTGTGGATAGTCAAACTGGAAGAAGAGTGCGGTGAAGCAGAGTGTGACGTACTGCTGCGACGGAGCACAGAACGATGAACGCAGCAACTTCATGCCCGCTACTGAGATGAACAGAGCTCGGCTGCTGGGGAAAAGATGGAGAGAGAGATCCGACATCAGTGACACATAGACGGGACTTTAAAAACCCAGATTCAAGCCGAATGTGCCTGAATGTTTAAAGCTACTGCAAATCAAGTGACCGTCTGCCACGTCTCTCCTGTATTTCACCTCTACAGAGACCACAGGTTACATGGTGAAGGGTGGGGAGGGCATACTAATGGGCAAACACTTTAATGCATCTTGCGCTACGGAGTTGGGTGGGGGGGCTTCACGTGTCCATTAGTTTGATGTGCTACAGATCCAACACACACAGGGCTCACGCCCCCCCAGGGAGTGGAGATGGAATAAGTATAATGTAGAAGACAGGGTGAGGAGAGGCTTACTAGATGTCCAGATCTTTGTGGTTCTGGCCCACGGTTCGCGCTTCTGACGTGAGGGAGTTGAGCACCACAGCCGGATAGATGAAATATTTCTCCACACACTGAAGCCACGCGTACAGCTTCTCAAACCACATCAGCTGAGCGGCATCTGGAGGAAAAAAAAACAAAACACACCATGTTCCGTCTTACAAATATCACACAGCTGTGAAATAAACCTGGCAGAAAGTCATTTGAAGTGAAAAATGTTTAACAAGAGGTCTATAAACTGGGTTATGTAGTCGTACCATTTCTGACATGCCGAGCATCTCAAATACAAAAAGTACAAAAAATGTCTGTTGGCCTTTTAGTTATGATTCAGTGAACCAAGGACCATTGATATGGTGGTGCTGTTGTTGTGGAGAGGCATGCGTGTGATGTTTGAAATATGCAGCCGTTCAATAGCGCACACATAATTACACCGTTTGGGGGCTGTCGCCGTCTCTGAAGCTCACTCAAAGATATTTCTGAAGAGCACTTCAACCAGAAACCTCACTGCTCTTCATTGACTCCCTTAATGTTCCAGCTGTTCATACAGGTATTGGTAGGTCTTCCACTCACCTCGGACCTCAAACTGACTGTACTCTCGAGAGCGGAGCACGGGGTGAGCCAGGCAGAACCATGGCAGCTGCTTGCGGAGTTGAGGCAGGAGATAGTGTGTGATGAAGCCCACAACTCCGGCCAGGATGTACAAGACAAAGCTGAGAGCAGGCTGTGATAATTAGCAAAAAAAGGAATATTAGCAGCTACAAAAAAAATTAAAATAAATCACTGGACACTTATTTTAGTGAATTGAGGAACGTCAAGTCGTAAATTAGCTCCAACTAACTTGAAGAGCGATGAAAACTGTGCTGGCACTGATGGCGAAGGTGATCACAGCCATAAGGGGACACATGACGAGGTCTGAATGAAGAATCTCTCTCTGCATGGAGGCAGTGAGATGGCAAGAGACTGTAAAAAAAGAACTTGGCACGGTGAAACTAAGGGTGAAACTGTGGTAGTGAAGGGATCTTTACCACAGAGCTACGCAGCTTCTCCGGAAGAGGGTCCTTGATCTCCACAGGGGGTTCTTCTGGCGTTCGGTTCTCCAACTCTGGGAATAATTTAGACTTGACCAGTGACCTGATGTCAAGGGGAAAAGATAAGAGGAAATGAAATGTAAAGCTGAGGGGTAACATCACAGTTTACACAGGCGCACTTCAGTGTTGTGTTGCGTTTTGGCAGCATTCAGAGCCTTTGACATTATTGGCGTAGCGAACAAGGAGGTGAGCCGGTTTAGTAAAACAACAACAAACAAAAAAAGCCATGAGACACAGTTTCAGCTTCAAATCTATGTACACTGACCACAGGATGGTGGGGTCACTGCTTTGGCGGCTGAGGTGGTAGGATAAGGCCAGGAGTAGGCCACAGAACACAGAGAACAGTACTGGCACATGGGCGTCCCCCCACGGTGCCTAATGGGAAGAAACAAAACATTCAATTAGAGATTTTCCACATTGATTCCAACTAAAAACACGGGGGTGGGAGGGAAACAGATGTTCCACTTACGGTAATCGCACCGAGGCAAAATCCATACAGCAGAGACGCCACCACCATGCTGCGTATGAGGCTGAACAGAGAGGAGAGCGGGCTGGTGGTGGCTGAGGAAAGTCACAGAGAGAGGAGATGAGAACACCTGATCTGGTCTGAGGACGTTAGAACACGCTCTCCCCCCTGAACATCATCCTCTGCTCTTACCAGTTCCACCAAAAATGTGCATGTCCATCTGCTCCAGCAGACACATCACAAAAGTGTTGACCTGAGGTAGCAACCCAAACAGGAAAATGACCGGGAAACACAAGGCAAACACTGTTGGACATAAAAAGGAAAAAAAGGTTAAAAAGGCTTAAAAGAAAAAAAAGTCACACTTTTAATAACAAAGAAAAACACTAAATCAATGAGCTTTGTGTAACTTAAAACATTTTATGCACAGGATTTCTTTGGTGGTTTTAAACTTTGTGGATGGTGTTAGCAGGAGGTATCATGGTGATTTTGTTAGTTAAAAACCACTTCAATATCAAACACAGATCAAGTGTGGTGACCTGAACAATTCCTTTTTAAAAACCAACCGATGAGCATATCCCTGACGCAGAGCAGGAAATGTGCAGAGAAGAAGGTGACGCCGTAGAGGGCGAAGGGCTGCACGCTGCCGGAGCGCCCCGACAGGTCAAAGATCCAGATCATCAAACAGCACAAGCAGAAGTACACCGGTCGACTGTACACGATGATCCAGTTATGGCCCTGTTTATTAACAGACAAAATAATGCTAAATAATTACAATTACGAGGGGGACACCGCACGCAAAGGGGGTGTAACCAGGACTCACGTGCATGGGTGAGGCTGCATCTGGTTGCACACTCTGAAAGAAAGAGGGTATTAGGTTTCACACCAGAAACGGTGGTGACATCACACACACACAAGTTATGTCGCATCCTGTATGATTATATTGTACAGTTTTGGAAGCATTTCCTATTTAATGTATTATGGCAAATGTCAAGTAAGATGAGGTGCGGCACCTTCAGTAAGGAGTACTGGCAGCTGGCAATGACCAGGCAGAACTGAAAAACCCAGATGTCCCTGAAGAAGTCCTGGAGCAGGAGGAGGAACCCCAGGAAGGCCACCAGGCTGGCGAGCACCACGGCGAACACGTTCTCTCCCACGCGACGGTTCCTGGTACGAGCAGACAAACAAATATTAGTGCAACTTAACAACAATGCTTTTTGTCCTACTAGCTGCTTTCTATTAATAACACATATCACAGCATTTGCTAAAGATAATTCACATAACAAACAAACCATAACTACTGGGCTAATCAACAACTTGATTAAAAAAGGCCTACGGGTTGGTTTGTTATCAGGAATAAAAGGATCACAGGGCGTATGGTCACACCTGTCCAACAAGGCCAGGAGAGCCAGTCGATCGTATCGAATCCTCAGCCACTTTCCAGGCAGCACCCAAAAGCGATAGTACTGTTTGGGTTTCGCCTTCTCCTCAATCATCAGAGTGTTTTCCTGGGACTCTTGTGGCGACTCGTGATCCAGATCAAACTGGGAAAGAAATCAGTGATTCATTAAGACAACAAGGAGAACCTGTGATTTCCTTTCAGGTAGAGAGAGAGAGTCCCGACTTATGGAGCTGAAACTCTACCGGGGAACAATGTGCCCCATCAAAGACCTGCTAACCTCGGGCATTTCCAGAGGCACCCTGCCCCCCCGCATGCCCTGTAAAACCACAGGCCTGGGCTGCAGCATGGAGAGGACCGGAGCCCCTTCCTGCACCTCTGTGGAGGTGAAGCTGGAGGACTGGGACTGTCTCTCCCTCTCCCTGCAAATGGGGAAAAAAGCAATGCTGATAATTTTTAGTTACTAACAGCAAATTAAGAAAAAAAATAAAGGGACCAAACTAAAACGTACTGAAAAGGGTCCTCGTACCCGCCTCCAGAAGGTCCAAACGTGTAGGACCTCTTCACTCCTGTTTAACAACAGACAGGATATATATAAATGGAAAACATACAACACGGAAATATTCCCTTATAAACTTAATGCATTAATTCAACACACACAGCAAGAGAACTTACGAACATAGCAGAAAATCTAGATGGAGTATAGGAAAATAAAAAGTAACGTATAGATACAGCAGTAGTAATGAGCATCTTTCCATGAATTTTCCTTCAGTTTCTGTCCTTGGAGGTTTCTTAAAGCCTTTTTTGCTTTTATCTGCATCTCTAACCGTTAAGAAATGGAACGGTTCATTTTCTATTCCCGGTAAAAGATTAAATCCAAAGTAAAATGTCATTGCACTTACACAAACAACTCTGACGGAAAGAAATAGTTTTACTTTCGCATCGTCATGGTGACAAGATGCCAGTAAGTCATCGAACCGGCCAGAGAATTAGTCCCGCACACAACATATAACTTTCTCATTTTTAATTTTGTTCTATTTGGAGAGAGGGCTGCTTCCCCCTGTGTTGAGTTGTTGAGCTAAACCAACGGCATTTCAAATGAACAGACTTGAGCGTGGTATCAATCGTCCCATTAAACATGAAAACGAATACGCACATTTCCCCAAAATGTTTGTCCTTTAAATGCCAGCGACTCACCGCTCTCGTCGAAGAAATAGTGCACGGCCCCCTCGGTTGTATCGTCGAAGGTGGAGGCCTCATGGATACCGCTCCGGGGCAGTAGAAGCGAGGAGGCGAACTGTAAGGCCGAGGGAAGCGTGCGGGTGCGGGAATGAGAGGAGGTGCGCGCCCGCTGGAGGTCCTGCAGGCTTCAGGGGACAGAAAGCACCGGTTGAGTGACGCTGTGTAACATTTGCTATAATGCGTAACTGTGAAATGTGTTACGCCTATGCCTCCTCAATGGAAACACATTATTATTCATTACTCCAATACACTTTTTATGGTAAACCCTCTTGATTTATTTCTTATCTTAACTTCTCCATAGTATTTTAGAACCAAAGGCCGGTGCTGGGAGGCAGAAATAGCACAGAGCGTCAGATTCAAGCCTCTCTCAGGTCTGGGCAACCGACTAACCTGGGAGGGGAGCCCATGGTGGACGGGGGAGGTGTCGGGTTGCTCCCTGCATTGTGTCTCCGGCGGATGGCCTGGGTCCTCTTAACACTGCTCACTGAGTCCTGTTTGCCTCCATCCTCTGCAGCCATAGCTGGAGGGAGAGGCGGTGTGGGGGGGGGGGTTATAGTTACATCAATGCAGCGGTTGAAATTACAGCATCAACGTACAGGGTTACAGTCGAACATTGGGCAATCGCCCCATTTCGGGGTTTTACTTTTGGGTTTTACAAACGTAGTTTATGCCAAGCAGACATAGAAAAGCATCCCGAATGCCTCATTGATGAGACGGCGGGGGATCGTTCATTCAATACGATCTCATGTCGGGTTTGTTTACTTGTACCGTCAGTAAATCCGATCTAGGCTTCTGTGCCGCCACTTGACGAAAACAATCAAATTGTTGTGAACACGCAGAACTAAAACACTGTCACACCGGCTCACCTCCTCCCACGGCTCCCTCTTCCACCAGCTCTTCTGTCCGCCAACTGATCTGGTTGCCGGTCCAAGAGCCTCCAAGAGAATCCAGCCGATGATGATGGTGGTGGTGATGGTTGTGGTGGTGATGGTGATGAGCCCCCGGGAAGCCGTCGGTATGGATGGTTCGGGCCTCCAGGTCGGACTTGGAGACGGTGAGAGTGCGGGCCGGCGGGGTGGAGGCGGGGGGCATCGCGAGCAGAGCGGAGGGCGGCGCCGCTGCGTTGCCCTGGGCCCCGCCCGCCTCGTCCATGCTCAGCACCCTGGCGTGAGTCTTGGCGCTGGCCGTGCTCGAGGAGCGCTGAGCGGCGCGAGGGTGGGAGGGGCCGGCGCTCTCGGGTAACGCCCCTTCCCTCGGGGCGGGCAGTTGAGCAGCAGCCGGGTGCTGGGACGCGGCGTTGGCGAGGTCGGGGGAGTAGCAGGAGGTAGAGGAGCTGGAGTCGTCGTCGTCATCCGAACTGTATCGGCGCTGAGAGCCGAGGCTCGAACCGGCGCTCATGTCGCTGCCGTCGTCGTCGTCATCGTCGTCGCTGGAATCCTCAAACAAACTCTCGCTGTAGGCCTTGGCGCCCAGCCGGCTGCGCACGGGGATGTAATCTCTGTGTTGTCTGTGGCTGTGGTGGCGGCTGTAAGAGCCGCAGTCAAAACTACTGCTCCCGGCGCCGGCTCGCCGCCGCGGGGCTTTCCTCCGGCCCGGCCGGTGGCCCACGCTACTGCCGCTGGCCCGCAGCAGCTTCAAGTCTTTGGGGCGCACCACCTGCTGGGCTTGCAGGGCCGGCTGGTCGGACAGTAAAAAGGGGGTGGAGGATACGGGCAGAGCCGGCTCGGAGCACACCAGACCCAGGGCCAGCCCTGGCGGCGCCGAGTTGGCCTGCCGCGGTGGGGGGAGGGGCGGGACAGAGGCGTTTCGGTCCGAGTCGCAAACCTCCGAGCGGCCGCTGCTCGAAGGGGAAGAGTTCTGGCGAGGACGGGACCGTGCGAGGTCACAGGGGACGGGGGACAAATCCTCCCCTTCAACAAGCGTCCTGTCCAGCCCCTGGCTGAGGGAGAACTCTTTGGAAGGGGAGCGCAGCAGGACGCTGTCTGACAGGTTGTCGGTGTCACTTCCACCCTCTTCTTCCGGGTCTCCTGAGGGCTGCGGGACGCTAAAACCCGCCGCTGGCGCCGAAGCAGAAGCCTGTCCGTCCGCAGGCCCGTGCTGGCTGAACGAAGGGCTTTCCAGCTGAGTGGAATCCGTCTTTTCGCTGCGGTAACTGCTGACGGTGCTCAGCGTCTCGCGGTCCGTGGTGGCTCCGCCCGCACTGAAGCAGCTGTCTGTGGATCCGGCAGCGAGCGCCACCCCACTGCGGCTGCCCGCATGCTCGGTCCCGGGCGCAAACACGACAGGGTCGAGCCCCAAACCCAACAGATTTTCACTCAGCTCCTCACTTAAGCTGCTCTTTATTAGTGGACTAAGAGGGGTATCCCCAAGGCTCTCAGATTCAGCAGATGGGCCGAAGGGAGAATAAGCCCCCAACCCGTTGTCCAATTGTTCTGGTGGCTCCTCCAACTCCTGCAACAGCTCTTTCTCGCCTCCATCTTCCTGACTGGAGGGTGAAGGGGGGATCGACAGGCAGACTCCAGGTTCTCCAAACCCGGCTGACATTCCAGATACTCCCATAAGACCTGGGAAATCCCCTCCCAGAGCAGCAGCAATGCAGGACTGAACCGCGCTGGGGGTCCCTGTACAGAAAGACGGGTCAACAAGAGAAGACTTGCGTTAAAATGCACGTCGGAGAGCAGATCAGATTCATTCATCCCGATGGGACAGTATTAAAAGCCACGCCTACACTGTAATGACCACCGTATCGGTACGCTCATGGCCGTGTTCAGAGGGTACGATGCTTGTCTATGGTCAGGGAATACTAGCAGACTTACGGACGGTGTCCTGGGACTTCTGTCGTGGGACCTCCCGGTGAGCAGACGTAACAATCCCGTTATTGCTTCCTTGTTCACGCATTAGCTCTCTGATATCTGAGGTAAGAAAGGTGAGGTCACGAACATAGTGCCGAATCAACACACGCTAAATTTAGAATTGAATTCAATATTGTAAGGACACGAACGCCAAAGGTTAATAATGACGGGAGTGCATGAGTTTAGTACAAGTATAAAACTGGCCATTCTGGGTCACAGAATGGGAACACAGAATGGGGATGCTCACTGTTGGGGCCTCTTGTATCCTCCAACTGGGGCAAGAACTCCTAAACAAGGACAAGAGGAAAAAACATACAACATCCTAAATTATTAGCACAGACACATTCATGCTTATGGCTTATTTTAGGTAAGAAGTTTAAAAACCATCTATTTTCAAAGAACTAGAACAAATGAAAGATGGTGATCCTCACCGACACCTGGTTCAATCCACACAGAGAGTGCTGGGAGCTGCAGCGCACCGGAGGTGTGGAGTTGACCTTCCGAAACACAGTCATCTCTACACCAACGTGACTGTCCCTGTGAAGAAGTAACACATAAGTAAAAGTGAAAGGCTTCTGCCAGTCACGCCTCATAGAGCCACCTACTTACCGGCGCCGGTTCCCATCATGAACACCCAGAACTTCATCTCCTTCCTCTGTTCTCGGGGCTTCGGCTGTGAGCGAGGCGTGCTTCTTCTCTACGATCTCCCCGAGGTCAAACATAGTGTGAAGCCGGTAGTTCACCACTTTAACGGCTGTGAAAAAGACCGCCACCGCGGCCGAGTACACGCCCGCAACCACCAAGCTGGGGGGGAGAGCCTGAGAAGGAGTGAAGAAGACAGCAAAGGAGGTTGGCTGCGGAAATGAGAAAATAACAGCTCGCTTCAAGAAGTGAGCGACTGCCGTTATTTCAATAGTGGATGGATAACTGAAACGTTGAGTATGGAATAGTGAAAGTCAATTCCCATTGCTCAGGTCAACTACTGAGTGTAGAGACAACTGTAGTATAAAATAACGTCCTACCAAAGAGGGTCTAAATTCTAATGTAAACTATGTATTAACATAATTTAAATAAAAGGTTATCTTCGATGCTTTTCTTATTTATGAACATTTGCCTTTCTTACCCGTATTGTCAGTAGTGAATAAATAACATATTTGAGATTTCCTTGGGTCTATTTTAAAATAATTTGCCGCTGTTTGGCATGAACACGGTTTTATTCTTACATGTGATGTAAATGTAAAATGCATGAAGTGGTTCATTTCATTTCTAATTCTAATGACAGCGTCAAACAGTGTGAAGAATTATGTTGGACCTGTCCGGTTGTCTGACTACTACGCAGCTCCTGAGTTCTGCCGCCACCCAGATTGTCTCATAAAGTCGGGGAGGCTGAATATGAACACAGTTCATATAACCGATGGAAACAAAAAATAATTTAGATTATTGAATTACCCTTTAAATGCCACCTCATTATGCAAAGGGAAAATACATGCCTGGGACTTTTTGTGTCGTGTAGTCTCATACCGTCAGCATTTTTACAGAACTGAAAAGGTAATTATACGTTTTCAAACATTATTCTCCAAAAAGTAGGTGTGCCTGATTTCCTTGGCTCCTTTGTTTTGTTTTTTCCGGGGACAAACTCAAAATAAACCTGCTGTGAAAACATCCTTACCATGTAGAGCAGAAAGGGGAAGGCCAGGAGAAATATCCAGAGGTAGAGGTGGAAGCAGTTGGAGAAGGTGCTCTGGTGTGGGTCCACATACCAGCCTCCCGTGAGCGAAGCCCACACACCCTGCCGCAAGATCTGAAGGGCCTGGGAACCCATCTCCACCGTGGGAGGTCAACCGGGGGCCGAAACGCTCAAAACACTGTGCAGCAGTTCGAGCCACAGTGTCTCGTGTCTACGATGGCACTTCCATTGGGGGTGGCAGGTCAACCACGACGGTTTCATCAAGGACAACAGTTCTGGGTCGGAGATACGTCCACTTCAGTTGAAGTCAGGGGTCCTTTCGTATTCCTACGCCGGTGTGGGCTCTCTCCCTGCACCGCTTCTGCCCCGCTGAAGCCTGATCCGTTCTGGGTAACCAGGAGAGTGACTTTTTGGCACAATGGTAGTAACCCACTGAATGGAAGAAAAGTTCATCTGAAAGAAAGATCACAACCGGTTTGCTTCTGACATGCAGCCAACATTAAACACACTGCAAATAAACGAAGTAACTTAGAAATGCCCAGGTTCACATTTATGAAGTAGCTTTGGAGAGAAGTTTTTTTTTTTAAATACATCATGCACAGCTGTAAAGAAGGACGCACGGACACAATGATTAGAATCTAATGAGAGTTAAGTGTCTCAATGGATGCCTTCAACACAGAATTACATAACATGACGTTATTCGCTCCATCCATCACATTTATAAAACAGGATGACAGAGCTTAAAACGCCCTGCTCGCATGTCAAGGCCAGTGCTCTGCCAGCTAACGTTAGATTAAGTTTTCTGATAGACATTAGCGAGCTAGCAGACAAACTTAGCCTAGCTCACGAAAACCCCCCGGTGCATTTACGATCGGGAAAGTGCGCCCCGATGCAACCACCAACGCCTTCCGATCCCGTCGGTTCAGCACAGAAACATGACGAGAGAGGAGAGGAACACTGTGTCCTCGCACTGGCTGACAAAAGCGAACACCATCGGGGCTGTCGGTCCCCAGATAGCTGACACTAAGCCTGAAGGAACAGCACCCTGAGCAGGGTCCGGTCCCCGTTGGTTGTAGCCGGGGTCCGTTTAACGTAACCCCAGCACACAGGAGGGGGAAAACCCGAGTTAGCATAACCCGCCGATCGCTGGGTGAATGTTGGGTTGCTCGTCATCAGCTAACGCTAGCTTTTTAGATTTGATCACGTTGATTGTCCTCACATGGCAATTGTTTTTTTCCTTCTTCCCCGTTCTTATCTTTTTCTAACGTTTGCGCCGCAGCGACGCTTACAATGGGCGTTAGTTGTCCAGCTCGCCTCGTTACCCTTCTTCCGCATCCAGTCCTTGCAAAATCTCAGAGCTTTTTTCCTTCTCGAGACGCTAGCGAGCCAGGCAATCGCCTGTCCCAAAAAAAATTGAGGCTTACTTTCTGTTGTCGTTGGCTAACTTCTTGTCGCGGTGTGAAAGGCCCCTCGTCGGCGTTAAGGGGGGCAGACGTGCAGCGTGGGGGGGGGCTTCTCTCATGGTGAAGGACAGCTGCTTCTCGGCATTAAACGCTAACTACGTTAAACGGTTCCAAGAAGCTAACTTGCTAGCTCACTGGGTAGCTAGCGCGAGCTAACAACTAATTGACACACACGCACGGACGTACGCACGCACAGTGAGCGATCAAATGGTGGGAGAGAGAGAGAGAGAGATGCCCCGAGGCTCTGATTGGTCGTTTACGGTGACGTCATGGGCAGGGTGTTATTCTGTTTTATTCTTTTTCAAAATGTCCTAATCATATTGTAATGCTGTTAAATTCAGAGTATACTAAAACTTCCATGTTGTTTCTGCACTTCTAATTCCATGATTGATTTCCCTGATATATATTTTCTTTTTGTATTAGGATTATTTAGGAAAAGTCCTATATGTATAGTGTACATAGTGTACATTCATATAAATATAAACAACACGTTTATATTAATAAATACACATTAATAAAATTATGTATTTGAAAATTCAAATTAGTTTAAAAAGTGAACGTTTTTTCAACGTCTATTCGTACTCGTCGAAAAGACGTGAAAACATGAAATTGAAATTCAATGTGAAATTGTTTTCGTTTGCTAACTTCTTTTTCTTCTTCTCCTTCTCCTTCCTCTTCTTCTCCTTATCCTTCTTCTTCTTCTCCTTCTCCTTCTTCTTCTTCCTCTTCTTCTTTTCAACGTGATTTTTAAAATCGGCAGTTAACTTACAAATGTTGACGTCGTTTCCTTTTAAACCTCTAAAATAATCCACGAAATAAACGTTGAAAAAAACGTCCACTTTTAAACCAATTTGCAACGTCTTTTTTCAATGTGTTTTTAACCAAAAAAATGCTCGCTGGGAACACTGAAATTTATATCTAAATGATATTCTAAAAATAGGGGTGTTTAACAAAACATAAGCTCAGAAAAAACGATAAGGCAAATACTGACACGTGACTCGGATGTTAGGGGACCAGAGGAAAGTCAGAGGGGATGCGACATATACCGGTTGTCTTATGGCCTTCTCTTGTCACAGATGTTTTGCTGAATTAGGCCCGGGACATCTCAGCAGGCTTATCATGTCCTGCAACCACTCTGCTTACAAACAAACGTCAGCGCAGATCAGACTAGACCTGAACTGACGCCACACCTCAGTTAGCCACAGGATGGTTCCCCCATCAGTCTCAGAACACGAAGGTCTAATGGGACAGCTGACCCCGCTGGCTTGAAGTACAAGCCCTCCAAATGTTTGTCTTTAGTGATAAACCTCAGCCGCTCTCACAGAGTAAATGATGGCTGCTTTAGCGAGGGCAACAAGGGCCCGTGCATCCCATCACTCTGCCGTTGAGTGACGTGGACCTCCACTTTTCTCCATCTCACAGTTCCTTGAGCTCTCAGCAGGGGGTGGTCAAACAACACCAAACATGTTACTCCTGACAAGCAAACTGACTCTCCTTTTGTATCAAAGAGATGGTTGAAGATGTTATGCAGAATGCAGATTTTTTTTTAAACTGGAAATAATGAGCAAGTAGGGACACAAGGCAATCCAGAGGGCAGGACTAATTAAAAGATTGTAACACTTTGGGATAATGAGATATTTTGCCTTGATTTGTGCATTGTGTATACAACACACTTTGTGTTGTAAATAATACAAATGGATACTATAGTGTAATGTTTACTGGAGAAAAGGCAATTATGAAAAACTGATTCATGTAGTAGACTTAATGTACAAAATGCTGTAAACGTCATTATTGGTAAGGTATGTCTTTCTGACTAATGACTTGTTTTACATGTCAAAGCAGTTCTCCAGTAGTATAACATTGCATGTTAGTAAACTGCAGAGACTGATGGAAAAGAAAGAATGAACAAAATCAATGCAACAGAGGCTATGCTGACTTTATAGTTGCCCAACATAGGTCAAGCTCTCACAGCGCTGCTTCGTCACCGCCCACCATTTAATGTGATATGTTTGTTCTCTACGCCTGGCAGACAAGCACATGTTGTTACTACAAGTGACAACACCTTTGTTAAAATGTGCTGAAATGATGTCTTAACAGCGGCTGTGGCCTGAACTTATCACACAGTGCTGTGAATCATTAGTGGCCTTATTGGGTTCATATTTTGGGTATTTCAATGTGTCCCCGTTAACCCAATAAAATATTTGTGTTTAAAATTGGAGACCTGATTTAGACAGCAGCAGGTGTAAGGAGCAGCAATAACAATTAAACATTTCATAGTATAATAAAACACTGGACGTTCATGCATCACTAACACACAAGAGCTACACAGCGCCCGAGGGAGGATGAGAGAGGGGGAGAGAGAGAGAGAGAGAGAGAGAGAGAGAGAGAGAGAGAGAGAGAGAGAGGGAGGGATGATGATGAAACTGAGCTGTAAGACACATTTTTAAAATGCATTGAGATCTGCAATCTAATGTAAAATCCATGTTAAACACCTTAACATGCATTTTTAGCAAGGTGCAACACCTACAAAATTGCTTCATCGATAATTCATTGTTTTTCTTTTGTGCTAAAAGATTCACAACTTCCAAAGCGGAATGAAGAGAAGGCAGATAAGTACATCACATTCATTTTAGAAAGTGGTGGACGTATACCTTTATTTATACCATAATTGCACCTGCAATCCTAATTCAGTTCAATCTGAATTCCTTTGACCTTTCAATTCCTTTTTGTCCGTGTTCAATAATAAAGGGGAAAATAAAGTGTATTTTCTTTCTTGGATCTAAAAGAAAAGCAACACACAACGCAGGTGTGTACAAAGTATATAATCAGGTGTATTTTCATCTTTATCCACGTTCTGTACATATATTAAGATCCATTTCACATGAACACTATACAATAGCAATGAGTGAGGAATGGAATATTTTCTGAACGCTGAGCAGCTCATATTAAACATCACTTTCATAAAAAATAACAAGAAATCACATGTTATGAATAAGTAAATGTAGACATAATTCAACAGAGAAAATGGCTTTATATTATCAGATCCATTGAGTAACAGATTCAGCACATAAAAAAATCCACATTGCGACAAAAAAACATGTTTTTTCCATCCTTTCTCTGCATACTGTAATCTGTAAATAACATAAAATCAGAAGGTATCTGTGGCTGTCCGAGGAGTGTGCTTGTTGTCTGGATTTAAGTAAAAGGCAATCTAAAATGCAATGTGTCAAGAAGAGTGGTAACAAGATACATCAAATATCAGAGAAATATCAATACGATTCACAAACTTTCAATTATTCATCTCATAGGATAGTCTTTTAGTAACTGATATAAAATACAATACATGTTTGGCTGCTTTACAAGGAGTATCTATTTCTCAAAGATATGTTTACATTTTCTGTGTGCTTTTTGAACGATCCCAGCACAGCTTTCAGAAAGGAGATCGAGATGATCCAACCTCGGCTGAGGCAGGTCGCTCCAAGAAGATGAACCTCTGAACAAAGTTCCCCCCAAAATCCTGTGAAGTCCGGGCCGCACCTTTTTGATGTTGTTGCGCCAACGTGTGTGTGTGTGTGTGTGTGTGTGGGGGGCATCTTGCACGTTAATTTTATCCACACCTGTTCCTCTGTTTACACAATGCCTTTTCTATCCGCTAACCTCTATATGTACATTTATAAGCAATGTTTACAGAGAAATACCTTCACTGGTGTGGACTGATGTATTATCACACTGTTCATGATCAACCCCACTTTGAGTACTGACAGGCAAAACCGACATCTCACATGAATAGTGTTTCTGATTCATCTGATCCAACATACTATAACGTCCACTTCCTATTGTATATTGAGTGTTTCAATATTCCCTGTAAAAAACTGCTGTCTTCTTCTCTTGGAGAGCTAAATATCATGCTTTATGATACTGCACCAGCAACATAATACCACATCTTGTGGACGGAGGAAGAGTGACTGGGGAGTTTTAAAAGTACACAACCATAAAATGAAGACGGCAGAGATGGTGTCTTATCCAAATATGAGGGCTTTCATTTTAAGAAGTCGGATTTACTGCGCTGCTTTCTGCTTATTTACCATAAAAAGGAAATAACTGGCCTGTTCTGCTTCATATATCATAATGGGGACATTGAGACTTGAGATAGAGCGTCACAAAGAAGTACAAAGAAAACATTTTGGCAAATCTGTCCGGATGTTCTCAGCACTTTCTTCGCTGTCCCATGCTATGTACAAAGCGGGTAAGTGGGTGAGCCTTTGACAAGCTCATCGAAGACACAAAAAAAGATACTCTTTCAAAGAATTGGTCGACACAGACAGAGCGCACATTGTGACCCGCATAATTAGTCAGATCATGTCTTGTAATTGAGGACTTAATCACAAACAGTAGCCGGGCAACCAAGACTTTCATAAAAGAAATGGGTGGAAAGCGGTTGTCGAAAGCAAGCGTTGCTCTGCGCTGTGGGTTTTTTTGTGGCCTGTGAAATTTCTCTGACGGTCGACCCGACGGAATCGAAAGCGAAACGAGTGAATCTTTACTCATCCTCTTGTCTCAGTCCACACTTCCCTCGTTTCCCTCCTTCTCAGACGTAATATTCTTTGTCCTTGTTCTTTTTGCCCTTTGTGATCGCCTTAGCCGCCGAGGCCGTCGGCGTGCTTTTGTCTTTGACCACCGCTCCGTTACCCTCCACAGCGGAGCTGTTGGCAAAACTGTTGCTCTGGTCTGCCTGGTAGGAGCCCTCGTCCCGGTTGCGGTACTTGTACATGGCATAGAGGAGGATAAGAATGCAGAGAGCGGCAGCGGCCACGATACCAACCACCATCCCCGTGGTGCTACTGGCCTCCCTGATCACCTCCACGGCACCGGGTTGGCTCTTTTCGTCAGAGGCAGTGGGGTTGGCTGTGGGCACATGGGGAAAATTGGGGGGGTAAGTTAGTCCTGGTGTGTTTCGGGAGGATGGAGGAGCAGGGGGCAGAAGCACCTGGTCGCGGGTGTTCATTTTGCCTGCGGGGATGTGGAGCTGGTCAGGGTTAGTGGTGGGAACATAAGGAGGTAAGGGGCGGGGTTTCCGGGCTCCACCCTCACCGGCGGTGGGGGGTGGAGGAAGGACTGTCCTGTCGGTGACCATCGGGGATTTGTTATTGTAAAAGTCTTCGTCGTCTGATTCCGTCAGTTCCCCAGAGCCAAAGGCTGA